CCGCGGCGTCGATGAGCACGTGACGACGTTCTCGTCCGACTGCGCGGGGACGCGCGCGCGGTCGTCGCTTCCGCCGCTTCCGGCGCGCGCGGCACGGCGCGAGGGGCCCGGGGGGCGGGTCGCGCACCTCGAGCGAGTCGCGGCCCGTGCCCATCTTGCGCGGGAGCACGACGAACTGGATGAGCAACTGCGCGGGGCGAAGCCGCGGCCGTCGGCGCGCGGCGGTTCCGTGGCGATCGCGCGCGCGCCGCGGCGCGCCGCGGACCGGTCCGGGATGACCGTCGCCGCGACGAGCTGGTGCGTCGCGGGGCCGCCCTCGTCGGCGATCTGCGACGTCCTGCGCGAGCGGGGGCTCGAGGGCGGCGACGCGACGCGTCGGGCGCGCGCGCGCGTCGACGGTTCCGGGGAAGCGTTCGCGGACGCCGCGCGACGGGCAGGTTGCCCCAGTGGAAGGACGCGACGCGCCGCGCGAGCCGCGACCTGCGAGGGATGCCTCGACCATGGACGTGGCCCCGAAGCCGTCGGGGGGCGTCGCGGCGCCGCGCGCCGACAGGTGCTTGCGCGACCGGCCCTCGTCCTCCGCGGACGCGTCGTCCTTCCACTCCGTGCCTGCGGGGGCGAAGGACATGTCCGTGCAGTCGCTCGCGTGCGCGCGCGCGCGCCAGACCCCGCCCCCGCCCCCGGAGCACGCGCGCGCGGGACCGTCGAGACGCCGACCGGTCGCGGAGCACGGCCGCCGCGAGCACGTCCGCGGTCGAGTCGAGCATGCCTGCGCGCCGGGGAAGGCAGGGCTCGCTCGCGCGCGCCGAAGCGATGGTGGGCCGCGCCCGGCGGGGCGAGCGCGAGGGACCGCGCGAGGCGCGGGGCGGGGCGGGAAAATTTTCAAACTCGCCGGCGGACGCGGGGACGCGCCGCGGTACACGACCCCCATCATCTCGGCGACGTTCTGCTCGATGAGGTCCGCGGCCTCGGTCTTCTCGACCAAGGCCTCGCGCTCCTCGTGGTAGTTGACGAAGATCGACGCGATCGCGTCGAGCCGGAGCCTAAAGTTGACGAGGAACGCGGACGCGGCCGCGGACACCTGCACGGACAGTCGCTTCGACGCCCGGACGGGCGGCGTCGCTTCCGTCGCGCGCCGCGTGCCGCCGTCGTCGCGCGCCCGGGCGTTGCGCCGGCGGGGCTTGCGCGTCGACGCCTTGTCCTTGGCCATGGCTTGACACAAATCGATCAGCACCTGTGAGCGAAACGGTGATTGTGGGTGTGTGGCGGCGCTCGGGCGGGCTCGTGGGGCGCGCGGGGCGTCGCGCGGGGCGCGCGGGCCGCGCGGGGCCCCGGGGCGCGCGCGCGGGGCGAGAGACGCGGCGGCGCACGAGATCGAGTCGCTTCGAGACCTGGCGAGTTGTGGACATTCTCTTTGAAGTCCAAGTTGACACGAAACCCGAAAACACCGTGCCCGGAGTTTTTAGGTCGCGCCTCGTGCACTTCCCCCGGAGCGTCCCCAGGACCGCTCCCAGACCTCCGATCGAAAATTTGAAGGACCGCGTCGACGCGGCCGATGTCTCCGTCGGCGCGGACCGCGCGCCGACCGCGGCGCTGCCACCGGTCGCCGCGGCGATCCCCGCAGCCGACGGGACGTCCGCGTCGGGGCGCGGGGAGCGGCGGGCGGAGCGGTGGCCGGAGGTCGCGACCCGCTCGGCCGGCGCGGGACGCTGGGAGTGGTTTAGCGATCGATCAGGCCCGGCAAGTGCTTGCCCGGGCCTTCACGGCCTCACGAGATTTTGCCAAGTCTAATCTGTCATATATCGCCCGCACCGCGGGTTGCGCGCGTCCGTGCGCCGCACGCGCGCCGCCGGGGCTTCGTCGCCGTCCCGGCACGGGCTCACGACGAGCGAGCGTCGTCGTGCAAAAAGCAGAGCTCTCGGCGGCCGAGGCGTCGTCGCTCCGGGTCGCGACGCCGGCGTTTTGGCGTCGTCCCGCGGCCCGCGGCGCCGGCGGACGCACCGGGGCTTCGGACCGACCCCGCCGGTGATCGCGGCGGCGCGGGAGGCGAAGAACGTTCCGGCGCGGGCGCCCGCGGGCCCGCGGGACCGGCGCGCTCGGCCGCTCGGCCGGATCGCGACGGATTTCCGCGATTCTTGGACCGTTCGACGGCGCTCGGTCCCGCCGTCGCGGCGCGCGCGGACGCGGCGGCGCCCGGACCGCGGCGTCGCGGCGAACGCCGCACGGCATCGAGCGCGAGCAGATGCGCGAGCTCCTCGAGCGCTTCGGCGTGCTCTCGGAGACCGAGGTCGTCGAGTTCATCGAGACGGCCGACGCGAACGGCGACGGCGTCATCGACATCAAGGAGTTCGACGCCTTCGTCGAGAGCATGCGCCGCGCGTGCCACGGCCGCGGCGGCGACCCCAACGACCCCGACTCGTGGTGCCCCCACGCGCTCTGAAGCCCCCCCGGCGGTCCAACATCCCCGCCCCCGCACGAATTAAAGTTCGACCTCGACGGGCCCCTTGGCCTCCTCGGCGCCCTGGGTCATGAACGTGTCGACGACGTAGCCGTCGTCGCCGTCGGACTCGTCGTCGGACGGGTGGCGCTCCTCGTAGACTTTGGGGTCCACGGGCGGCGCGTCGTCGGGCGGCGTCATGCCGAGGGCCGCCTCCTGCTCGCGCTCGAGCTCCTCGAACATGTCCGTGAGCCGGACGAACTCCCCGGGCGACCGGTCCGGCCGCTCGCCGAGGTCCGGGCCGATCGCGTCGTCCGCGGCCTTCCGGAGCGCCGCGGCCGTCGCCGCGTCCCGCGCCGCGAGCGCCGCCGCCGCCGGGGCGCAGTCGTCCTTGTGGAGGCCCCAGTGGTCCTTCTGGCACTCGCGCGAGCAGTAGCGCGCGGCCTTGCAGGACCCGCAGGAGAACTTGGCGCGCGCGCCGCAGGCCGCGCACATGCGCCGCATGCGGTCGTCGGCGCCCGGCGCGAAGAAGGACTGGACGAAGGCCGTCACGTCGTCCTCGCGCGCGTCCTCGGGCGGCAGGAGGCACGTCGGCGCGCCGTCCTCGCCCCAATACTGCGCCGCGAAGACGGAGCCGAGGCGCTCGCTGAGGTGGCAGGGCCCCGTCGTCCGCGGGTCCGACGCGTCGTCGCGCACGTAGGCCGTGACGAGGATGGACGGCACGCCGCCGGGCCGGTTCCGTAATACATCCTTGTCTTTCAGGGCCTTGCCCGCCTGCGCGTCCCGGGGGCTCGACGCGTTCTGGATCCAGCCGTAGCGCAGGCTTTTAGGCACGCCCGGCGGGAACTCGTTCCGGATCTGCATCGCGAGCACGATGGCCGCGAGCTCGCCGCCCTGGCCCTCGCCGACGAGGCCGTGGAACGGCGGCGACTCCTCGCCGAGCCGCGCGAGCACGGCCGCGACGGCGTGCTCCGCGCCCTCGTAGTCCCAGCGGCCGAACTCGTCGTTGAACCGCTCGCGCCACCAGCAGCGCCGCTCCGCGAGCGACGCGTCGGCGTCGACCATGGGCAGCACCGGCGGGACGTCGTCCTCCCAGGGCGCGTCCATGTAGCTAAAATCGACGTGCGGCAGGTTCGCGTGCTGCATCGTCTCCGCCATGGCCTTGCGCAGGCCCGCGCCGTCCGAACCTTTTCCGTGCAGACATAGGAACCGCAGGTGTGGCGGGGTGATGCCGATGTAGGCCGCCATCGTTTTTGTATGTGCAATGTAGGCTACAAGGTTTGCGCTGCACTTTCACATGTCGAGGCTGTCGAGAGGGTCGCACGTGCCTCGTCGCGGGCAGCACTGGCTTGCGGGCGGGCAGCAGCGACCATCCCACCCTCCCCTCAGAAGTCGAGGATCGGGACCGGCCCGCCCGCGCTTGAACTCCTTGCACTCCCACACGCCGAAGCTGGTTGCACGTGCTTTTGCAAGGGGATCTTCAAGTATCTTGAAGATCCCCTTGGCTTTTGGTCTTGGGCAGCATTGGCGGGCAGCTTCGACCATCCCTCCCTCTCGATCGATCTCCTCCCGGTCTCCGTCCCGCCCGCGGCGCCATGAAGTTCGGCGTGCGGCTCATGAAGGAGATGGTGCAGGAGTGGAAGGACGAGTACGTCGACTATTTCGGCCTCAAGCGGCGGCTCGACGCCGTCGTCGCCGAGACGCCGGCCGGCCGGCCCCGCGCGGACTCGCCGGAGCCGGGCGCCGACGAGGACGAGTCGCCCCTGCTCGTGGAGCTGCGGCCCCTGGAGACGGGCGACGACTTCGAGCGGGAGGTGGAGCTGCGGAGCCTCGGGCGGCAGCGCGTCGTCGGCCTCGCGACGTCGGCGTCGTTCCGCGCGTCCGCGGCCGCGCCCGGCGCGGCGCAGAAGGCCTTCTACGCGGCGCTCGACGCCGACGTGGCGCGCGTCGAGGCCTTCTACCTGCGCATGCTCCAGGATCTGGACGTCCGCGCGTCGCGCGTCGCCGCGCGCGGCGGCGGCTCCGGCGTCGCGGAGGAGCTCATGCAGGTCCACCTGCTCTGCGCCCTCCTCTCGAGCTTCTGCGAGCTCAACGCGACGGCCGTGGCTAAGATCGCGAAGAAGCACGACAAGCTGCTCGGCGTGGCCTGGAAGGGCGCGTACACGTCCGCGGCGGAGCGGTGCTCCTTCTGGCGGTCCGGGCCCGCGACCGTCGCCGCGCTGCGGAGCGAGGTCGAGGCGACCTACGCCCAGCTCTTCACGGAGGGCCACCTGTCGGCGGCGCGCGCGGCGCTGCGCGACGGCGCGGGCGACTACGCGCTCCGGCGGCCGTCGCGCGGCGCGGACACGTTCGTCGCGGGCGCCTTGGTCGGCGTCGCCGCGTGCGCGTCGGCGTCGCTGCTCGTCGCGCGGCAGCATCTGGAGTCGCCCGTGGAGACGCTCGACGACGTCGGCTGGGCCTTTGTTCGGCTCGCTTCTTTGCCCGCGCTCCACGTTTTAGGGTTCGCGGTCGACATCCTCGCGTGGCAGGAGACGTCCGTGAACTGGGTCAACGTCTTCGCCATGCTGCCGGCGCGGGCCGCGGAGACCCTCGAGTGGCCGTTTTTGGCGCGGATGACGTCGGGCGTGCTCGCGTCGGCGCTCGTCGCGCTGCTGGGCGTCGTGCTCAACGTGCGCCGCGCGTACCTCGCGGCTACCGTGTTGGTGCTCCTGGCGTCGGGCAGCCTGCTGAGCCGCCGGGGCCTGCGGTTCCTCGCGTCGGAGTGCCCCTACCTCACGCGGGTGCTGCGCGCGAACGCGGCCGCGCCCTGCGGCGGCTCCGTGGGCTTCGAGCACACCTTCGTGGCGGACCAGTTCTGCTCGCAGACGCGCGTGCTCGGGGATCTGGGCCTGCTGGCCTGCGTCGCCGCGCGGGGCGGCGGGCGGGGCGCGGCCGCGGAGCACTTCGCGCGCTTCGGCCTCGCGGTCGCGCCCTACTGGGTCCGCTTCTGGCAGTGCGCGCGGCGGCGCTGCGGCCCGGAGAACCACGGACCGTCGCAGTACAACGCGGCCAAGTACTTCGTTTCGGTGATGGCCATGACGGCCGCTTTGACGTGCCACGGGCCCCGCCGCCCGCTCTTCGTCGTCGGCGCGACGTGCTCGACGCTCTTTTCCTACTACTGGGACCTCGTCCACGACTGGGGCGTCTTCGGCGGGCGGGGCGCGTGGCGGCTCCGGGAGCGGCGGAACGTGCCGCCGCGCTACCTCCGGGCCGCCTGCGTCTTGGACCTGGCGTTCCGCCTGCTGTGGGTCGCGAACACGGGCGTCGAGGCGTCGGGGACGCTGGCGTCGGGCACGCACGAGACCCTGTTCGCCGCGGCCTGTGTGGAGATCAACCAGGGGAACGCCCTGTCCAGCAAATACTTCAAACCTCTCTATCTCGGTCAAATCGAAGTCGATTCGGCTGATTTTTGGACGAATCGATTGCTCTCGTCGAGTTCTCGAAGCGCAGCCGAAGAGATTGTGTCGAAACATTCGAATACGCGAACATTGAAGTCGGGTTGAAGATTTGATTTCCACACAGGCCGCGGCGGAGGTCGCGCGGCGCGTGGGGTGGAACGTGCTGCGCGTGGAGCACGCGCACCAGGACCACGTGTCGAAGCGGTCCATACTGGCGTCGAAGAGCGCCGCGGCGGCGGAGCGCGCGCCCGCGGCGTCGTCGGACAGCGACACGGACGCGCGCGACTCGACGTCGTCCGAGTCCGTCCTCTCCGACGCCGGCGGCGAGCCCCCCCGGGGGCCGCGCGCGCGGTCCGCGGGCTCGGTCGCGTCGGCGGCGCCGGACGACGTCCGCGGGCCGCGCGCGAGGTCCGCGGCGTAGGATTATCGTTAGACGGGGCGCCGCCTAGAGGAGCGCGGCGGCGGCGGCGCAGTACTCCTCCCAGGCGATCGTGACCTCCGCGTCGATGTCGGACGCGAGCGCGGTCCACTCGACGAAGCGGGCGGCGGCGTCGCGGCGGAGCGCGTCGACGTCGGCGCCCGTGAGGGAGTGGGAGATGCCGAGCGCCGCGCCCAACCACAGCGCGAGCTTGCCCGCGGCCTTCTTGTCGGCGACGGGCGCTTCGAACCTCTGGAACGTCTCGAGCTCGACGGCCGCGAACCCCTCCAGGCGCCCGAGGAAGCGCGGCAGCGCCGCCGCGCAGGCCAGATTCGCGCGCTCCAGGCCTTCGAGGCCGTTCGCGGGGACGGGGAACGCCTCGACGAGCTTGCAGGCGGCGCCCCCGTCGAAGGCCAACGCGACGAGCGTCCGGGACCCCGGCAGGCGGCCGGCCTCGACGACGACGCAGGCGCCCTCCGTGGCGTTCCAGGCCTTTTGCACCGCGTTGACGACCGCGTCGTCCGCGTCGAGCGTTGCTTTCCGCATCTCCGCGCACCGCGACGAGTGCTGCAGCGCGTATTTCCCCGTCGCCTCCGACGCCGGCAGGGGCTCGTGGAAGGGCGCCGGCGCGCCGGGCGACAGGGCCGGCTCGAGGCCGTCGGCGAAGGGGAAGTCGAGCTCGCCCGTGGCGTACTTCTCCCGGAGCGTCGTAAACTCAGCCTTGGTCTGGCCCAGGCCCCGGAGGTAGCCCAGCAGGAACTGGGGCGCGAAGTCGCGCATGGCCTCGCGGGAGGGCGCGGGCTCGTACATGCCCTGGCGCCGCGCGATCTCGATGGAGACCAAAGCCGAGACGACGTCGACGCAGTAGGGCCCCGACTCCGGGTTCTTCGGCGCGCAGGTCGCATCGTCCAACGCCCGCAGGCTCAAATCGTCCTGCTCGCCGGGCGCCGCGAGCCGCGCGCCCCGCGCCGTGCGCACGAACTGGTCCGTCGTCACGGAGCCGTGGACGACGACCGTCGGCACGTCGTACGCGCAGGCCGCCTCGACGCGGCCCTTGCACTGGGCGCAGGCCTCGCGGAAGAAGAGGCCCGGCGACGCCGCCACGCGCAGGCGCGCGTCGGGGCCGTCGCGGAGCGGGTCCCGGAAGAAGGGGTTCGACGCCGCGCTCGACGCGGGCGTGAAGGGGCGCTTCGTGATCTCGTCGATGAGGAAGGCCACGGGGTCGCTGGGCCGCTCGCGGAGCACGCGCACGACGTACTCCTGGAGGATCTCGCCGAAGTTGTGCCGCTTCGCGTACTGCACGCAGTCCTCGAAGGCGTCGCGCGCCGTCGTCTCCGCCACCATGCTGAATGCGTTAGACCTTGTGTATCCTTTGGTTGCACCCATCGAGCACTCTGGGTGCAGGGAGGCCCAGCCTCGGCGCCGACCGCTCGGCTCCACGGTCGCCGCACCCGGACGCGCCACCGCCGCGGTCTCGAGCGCTGCGCGAAAGACCCCGTCGCCCGCGCGCGCCGCTGCGCATCGCCGGCGCGCGCGCCGGTCGCGCCGCCGCTCGCGAAGCCCCCATGCCGACGCCGCAGCGGAACAAGAAGAAGCAGGCCAAGCCGAGCACGCCCGGGACGCCGCCGACCCCCAAGCCGCCGCCCGTCCACGCCAACTACAAGGCCGCCACGCGCTGCTTCAAGGAGCACGTCGCCGCGCTGCGGCGCTGGATCGACACCGAGGACGAGGCCGCCGACGTGCTCAACAGCGTCGCGGCGTTCGCCGGCCGCGTGCCCGTGCTGGAGCGCTGCGTCTGGGACGAGCGCAAGCTCGGCGCCCTCCACTCGCTCAAGGACGGCCTCGCGAAGCAGCTCGCGGTCGACCACCGGCGCGAGACGCAGCGCCTCGCGTCGCACCTGCGGAACGCGACGCTCCCGGAGCTGAACCGCGCCGCGGACGACTGCCTCAAGGCCGTCGAGGACGGCTGCGCGCTCCTGGACCGCGACGGCTGGGACCCGGCGACGCCCGCGGGGTCGTGCCCGGCGTCGCCGCTCGAGCTTTTCACGTGGATGCGGCAGCTCAACGAGATGCTCTTCGACGAGCTCTGGCGCAAGGAGACGCTCCTGGACAACGCCCTGCGGGCGGTCTGGCACGAGGACGACGACGACGACGCCGCGACGACGACGCGGTCCGCCGCGCGGCTCTGGCCGCGGACGTCCCCGGAGTCGTTCATCGACAACTACTTCCTCGACGTCGTCTTCACGAACCACGACTTCCTCATCTAGCGGGGGGCGGGGGGGCTGTAACCAGCGCCGCCCGCGCGTCGTCGGCGCCGGCGGGGGGGGGGCGACCCTCCCGGGCCGAGTCCCGGGCCGCCGCGGACGTCTCCCCTCCGCGTCGCGGCGGACCACGCCGGACGGGGGGCGCCCCCGGTCGGCGGACTCCGGACGTGTCGCTCCCCGGGGAGCGCGGCGCTCCCCGGCGGGGCGTGCCCCCAACCCCCCAGCGCGCGGCCGTCGGGCGCCCCGAACCGCGCGGAACGGTGTCACAGAGACGTTAGGTTTGTGCGGGACCGCGCGCTGCGGCCCGCGTACGGTCGACGGCGTCGGGCGGCACGGCAGCCGCCGGGCGAGGGCCTCCGGGGGCTCGTCCCCCGCGGGGCCACCGCTCTACTTCTCCATCGCTTGGCGCGCGCGCATCTGCGCGTAGATGTCCTTCATGTCCTCGCGCTTCTTGATCGCGCGCTTGTGCGTGCCGAGGCGCATCTTGGCGAATTTGTACATGCGCTTCTCGCTCGACGCGCCCCCCGTCTTGATCATGTCCAAAATGCGCTTCTCGTAGGGCACGAGGCCCGCGACCTCGCGCACGACCTCGCGCACGACCTTCGTCCGCGCGGAGAGGCGCCCCTTGCGGTGCTTCGGCCGCTGGGCCTTGGCCAGCTTCTCCGTCTCGAAGTGCTTCATCACGCGCGTGGGGGCCATCGTCGCTCTTTTTGTCGAGCGAGGAGCTGCACAAATGCCCCGGCCAAGGTGGCGCCGGGGGTAATTTTTCAAGTCGAATCGACCAGTGTGGGAAACAACGTACGCCTAGGCCGGCCCACTCGAATTAAATAATTAATATTTAATTATTGTTTCCCGCCGGCGGCGGGCGGGACGTGTACTACACCTCCTGAAAATCGGCCGCGCGTGCGGCCAAGCCGCGGGGCCAGAGGCAAAATTGGCGAATTATGGCCACGCCGAGGATGGTAAGGCAAGTTTGCGCGCTAACCGTATTCGTCAAGGAAGTTTGAGAGTGCGGGTCGCTGGTTCGGGTCGGCAAGCGTGTAACGTATCTTCAAGTTGCTGTGCAATGTTTACTTTTTTGTTGAAGATATAAATACCAGGTAATTGTTGGAGCGATTTTGTTTCCCACACTGGAATCGACCCGGCCCGAGCCCGCTCGTCGGCGAGGATGTGCCTCCGCTTCTTTCGCGCGCGCGCGACGCGCGGGAGGTCGTCGCCGGCGTCCGAGGCGGCGTTCGCGGCCGTTCGCGGAACCGTGACGGCGCGGCGCGGCGGCTGGACCGCGACGCCCGGCGGGCTTCGCCGAGCACGCGTCGACTCGGAGGGCCGGGCCTGTGCTCGTGCTGTGCGTCACGGTGCCGCATTGGGACCGGCACGGCGCGCGGTGGCTCGACGCGGAGCCGGGAGACCATAGAGGGATCGGCGTACTCCGCAAATGCCGGTATGTACCGGGTATTTACCATACCGACGGTATATACCGGTATATACACTCGTTCTAACCACTACGATCGGAAAAAACGCGCGCGCCGGCGGTCAGTCGGCCTTCCGAGTCGAGACCCAGAAGTCGCTGGACAGCGACGACAGGTCTAGACTACCCCCTCGTCGACGCCGTCGCGAGGCGCACGAGGCGCCGCTGCATGGACGCGGCGGACCCGTCCCGCGCGGCCGCGGACGCGCGGGGCGCGGGCATGGGCTCCGCGGGCGCGGCGGGGCAGTAGACGCACCGCACGTACTCGGCCATGCGGTAGCTCGTCGGCTCGCGCTTCCGCGTCGCGTAGAACGCGCTCCAGTAGGGCTCGTGGGCCCGCGGCGGCACGGGGCGCAGAGTAGGGTGGCATCACTATAAATTCGCCACACGCTTATACGACGCGTCGCGACGCCCGAGTCAAAGCGTTCGCTACGACCGCGACCGCGCCCGTTCCGCCCCCGGGGCGTCACCCGCCGAGCGCGGTCGTCGTCGCCCCGGGGTCGGCGGGGGCCGCTACATGCGGACGGCGCTGCTCGTCGCGCTACTCTGCTCCGCAAGAGCGACAAAACCCGCCGCGCCCTTCGACGTCGCGGACGAGGCCGCCGCCGCCGCGGGCCTCGAGTGCCCGGGCGCCGACGTCGCCGACGTCGCCGCGCGCGTCGAAAAGCTCGGCGCGAACGCGTCGACCGCGGCCGTGGAGCGCGTCCTCGAGGCCGCGGTCGCCGCGAGCGCCCACGCGCGCGCGCACCGCCGCGTCGCGCTCGTCAAGACGCACAAGACGGCGTCGGGCACAGGGCAGGAAAAGAGTGATTCAAGTTCGCTTCAACATGAGTGTTCCGCGCGCGCGCGTTCTGGAAAAAGCATCCGCGCTTCGAGACCGTTCCGAGAGATGATCGCTCGTCCAAAAGTTAGCCGAAACGAGTGGAAAACGACCGAGAGAGGAGCCTCCAAAGTTGGGAATTTCGCACTCTTTTCCTGCCCAGGTCGGGCACGCTCCAGGCCCTCGTCGCGCGCGTCGCGTTGCGCCTGGGCCTGCGGCCCGCGGCCGCCGCGTGGCCGGGCAAGTTCTGGCGGAAGGCCATGTGCCCCGAGGCGCTCCGGAGGGCGCTCGGCGGCCGCCGCGCGGACGTCGCGCTCCGCCACGTCTTCCCCATCAAGGACTGGTGGACGACGAATCGGACGACGTGTAAGGACCGCGGGCCCTGGGTCGACGGCTTCTTTCGCCTCTGCCGCGAATTGATGGGAAACGACGTCGCGTTCCTGCTGCCGCTGCGCGGCGCCGGCGTCCGCTTCCCGGCGCGTCCCGTCCGACGCGCCCCTTCGTCGCTCCGGCGCGTCCCGTCCGACGCGCCCCTTCGTCGCAGGCGCGAGCCCGCGGGCCACCTCGCGTCGCTGCTCGCGTACTACAACCGCACGCGGCGCTGGTACGCGGGCGACCGCGACCGCTGGAACCCGCTCGCGAAGGACCTCCGGCTCCTCACATCGGGCGACGTCGAGAGCTTCGTCGAGGCGCACCTCCGGGGCGCGCGCCTCGACGCCGCCGGCGTCCACGTCCTTTTGGTCGAGGACCTCCACGCGTCGCTCGCCGTCGCGCGGCGCCGGCTCCGCTGGTCGCTCCTCGACGCGCTCCCGGTGGCCGTCGGCGCGTCGAAGCGGCGGCGGAGCGGGCGGGGCGCGTCGAAGCGGCGGGGGAGCGGGCGGGGGTTGTCCGAGGCCGCGCTTCCGGCGCCGGCGGCCTCGCTCGCGCTCGACGGGGTGCTCTACCGGGGCGCCGTCGCCGCGCACGCGGCCGCCGTCGCGGCCGTCGACCGCAAGTGCGGCGGCGGCTTCCCCGTCGCCGCCGAGGCGCGGCTCCTCGCGGCGCTCGGCGCGGCCGTCGACCGCGCGTGCGGGGTCGACGGCGCGCCGCCGCTCCTCGCGCGGCTCTGCCGCTTCCGCAAGACCCAGGAACGCGCGGTCGTGCAGGCCGTCGTAGACGTCGCGCCACTCGACGACGCGCTCACTTCCCGGTCGCCCCGGACAGACGGCCGCGCGGCCGCCTCGCCACGCCCGCGGTCCGCCCGCGCTTCGCGGGCTGCGGGGGCGGCTCCCGCGCCCGGGCCGGCGCCGCGGGCGTCGCAGCGCTCGCCGCGTGGCGCTCGTCGGCCTCATCCAAGACCCGCTTTCTCCGGTCCTCGAATTCCGGCGTCTTGAGTATGCCCTCCTTCTTATCCTCCATCAACTCCCTGATGACCTTGCGCGTGCCCGGCGTCAGCGCCATCGGGCCCGCGGAACGCCTCGAACGCGGCGCGAGGAAGGTTAAATATCGCTGCTCGCCGGCGATTATCTCGGATCGGGGCTGGATCAAGATTGTTGCATTTCATTTTAACCTTCCCTCAGCCTCAAATACAAAATAATAACAATCTCCGCGGCAGACCTCACCATGCCGAGGGCAAGTCGATCTATCTCGGATACATAATAGACGGCGCTGGGAGCAGCGCTCGAGCCTCACAGGCGCCGTCCGCCGCCGGGGCCGGTCCCGACGCCCGCCCGCTCCGGTTCGCGTCCCCGCCGCCCGGGGCCGGGCGACGTCCCCGCACTTTGGAGCGACGCCGGCGGGCTCCGCGCCATGGACCTGAAGCTGTCGTGCGAGCAGATTCGCATGAAGAACCGCGAGGCCTACCGGGCGGAGCAGTACCTGCCCAAGGTCAAGTGGGCGGCGTTCCAGGAGCAGCGGCGCCACGAGGACTTCGCGGCCATCCGCTTCGAGCAGAAGCAGGCGTCCATCCAGGTCAAGAAGGACCGGCCGGACCTCCGCATCGTCGACTTCTGCCAGCGGCTGCGGCGCCACCTCGACAAGCGCGTGCGCGAGCTCGGCGGCACGGAGAGCTCCGTGCTGCGGACGGCGTTCCTCGACTGGGACGGCGACTGCTCCGGCGCGCTGAGCGTCCGCGAGTTCAAGCGGGCCGTCGAGAGCCTCGGCTTCGTCGTCGCCGACGACGAGGCGTCCTACGTCGTCGGCTACTACGGCGCCGATTCCGGGGGCGAGATGCGCTACGCGACCTTCGTCGAGGACGTGGCGCGCCTCGGCAGGCACTTCATGGAGCACAGCGACGTCGGCGCGGCGACGGCGCGGTCCGGCGCCGGGGACCGGTCCGGCCACCCGGCGATCGTGCGCCGCTTCATCAAGAAGCTGCGGGCCAAGCTCCTCACGTCCATCAAGAAGAACGGCGAGTACGAGCGGATCCTCATCCGCCGGGCCTTCCTCAACTGGGACGCGGACGCGTCGGGCCAGCTCGACGCGCGGGAGCTCGTCGGCGCGCTGGCCCAATTGGGCGTCACGCTCAGCGAGTCCGAGGCGTCCCAGATCGTCGCGGCCTACGACGCGTCGAACCAGGGCGCCATGCGCTACCAGGCGCTCGTCGAGGACGTCTGCGAGGGCGTGCCCCACTTCATCGAGTCCGCGGAGGACCCCGACGTCGAGACGCGCGCGAACCTCAAGTCGACGACGGCGCCGACGCCCGAGGAGGAGCACGAGGACGAGCTCTTGTTGGAGTCGCTCTTCACGTGCCGGCCCTACGAGAAGACGCAGAACGCGCTCGCCGAGGAGTTCAAGGTGAAGCTCCGCTACGCCGTCGAGGCGCGGATCCTGAGCCAGGGCGGCACGGTCCAGTCCATCCTCCGCGAGGCCTTCCTCTTCTGGGACTCGGACGCGTCCGGCGAGCTCAACGTGCGCGAGTTCATGGGCGCCATGAACCGCGTGGGCATGGACATGAGCGAGATGCACGCGCGGCAGATCGTCCGCTACTACGACCGCAAGGGCAACCGCGGCCGCTTCGGCGACGGCGAGATCCACTACATGGACCTCGTCGACGAGATCGCCAAGGCCGTGCCCCACTTCATCTCCCACCCCGTGCCCAAGCGGGCCGCGGGCCCGCCGCCGAGCGCCCGGGCCGACGGCGACGTCGCCGTCGCGCTGCCGCCGTCCATCGCGGAGTCGAAGGACCGCCTGAGGGCCGCCGTGCTCCGCGCCGCGCCCAAGACGCGCGCCGCCAAGGGCGGCCAGCCCATCCCGCCCCGGGACCTGCTCCACGGCACGCTGCTGCGCATCGACAAGGCGGGCTCCGGCGCGGCGACGGCCAAGGACCTGGCGAGGCTCGCGCGCGAGCTCCGCGCGCCTCTCAACGACCGGGAGCTCCAGGCTGTGCCGAAACCAACCACTGGTTTGGGTGGTCCTGACCAAACTTGAGAATTCTCTAGCTCGGTCAAATCGAAGTCGATTCGGCTGATTTTTGGACGGATCGATCGCTCTCGTCGAGTTCTCGAAGCCCAGCCGAAGAGATTGTGTCAAAACATTCGAATACGCTCACATTGAAGTCGGGTTGAAGATTTGGTTTCGGCACAGGCTCCGGGAGCTCGTGACGTGGTACGACGTCTCCGGGTCGAACACGCTCCCCTACGCGGCGCTCGTCGAGGACTGCTTCCCGCGCGGCGCCGGGGCCCGCGGGTACGCCGGCGCCGCGCCGCTGCCCATGATCTCCGCGTCCGCGCCGCCGACGCCGAGCAGCGGCATGTCCACGTCCCGGCGCAAGATGGCCAAGATCAACGCGGAGAAGGCGACGATCGAGAAGCGGCTGCGCCAGCTCCAGGAGCAGCAAAAGGCCCAGAAGGCCTAGGCGCCGGGGTTCGCGCGCCTCCTAAGACACCGAGGTAGGTTTCGAGTCGGGGCCGCGGCCCTTAGCCCGGCGCGTCCCCGAGGAGCCGCGCGACGGCCAATTCGACGTCGCCGCGGCACGCGGCGAGCGCGGCGACGGCGCGCGCGCGGCCGAAGCCCATCTCGACGACGCGGCCCACGGCGCCCTCGTCGACCGGCGGCGGGTCCGGCGGCCGCGCGTCCGGCGGCGGCGGCCGCGGCGCCGGCTTGGAGAAGAAGGCCGCGATGGACCGCGTCGCCGGGCTCGGCCGCGCGGCCGCCGCGGGCTTCGCCGGCGGCGCCCGCGGTGGCGGCGACCGCCGCGACACGGCGGCGTCGCGGCCCATCTGCGCCCGGAGCTCGTCGGCGATGTCCGGGGGCAGCTCCGCGAGGACCGCGGCGTCGACATCCGCGCCGCCGGGCGGCCGGTATTTCGGCGACGGCGGCCGCGCGGGCGCGAAGGCGTCCTCGAGGTTTCGCTGGCCCGGCGCCCGCGGCGCGACCTTGACCTCGAAGTCGGACGTGCGCACGCCCATGAGCCGGAGCTCGAGCGGCGCGCCCCGTTCGTCGGCTTTGGCGACCTCGTCGCGCAACAGCGGCGCGAGGAGCGCGACGAGCGACGCGGCCGACTGGACGTAGCGCTCCCGCGTCGGCCCGCCCTCGGGCGCGCGCGCGTCGCGCGTCGTCACGTGGAACGCCGACGTCTTGAGCTTCAGCGTCGCCCTCGCCGCGCGCATGCCCCGCGTCTCGAGGCGCGCCGCGACGATGGCCGCGATGGCCTCGAGCTTCGCCAGGAGCGGACCGAGGCCCGAGACGGGCCGGAACGTGCGCTCGTTGCCGAGGCCCTTGGGCAGGCCGTCCTCGTCCTCGTCGTCCTCGGGCCCGCCCGCGGCGCCGACTCCGAGAGCCACGTCGTGGAGGAAGTCGCGGCCCTTTGGCGCGAAGAGCGCGTGGACCTCCGGCAGCCTGTCCAGGAGCTCGCCGCAGGTGCGCACGCCGAGGCCGTCCTCGAGCTTCTGCTCGAGCACGCGGCCCACGCCGCCGACTTTCCGGCAGGGCAAACTTCGGAGGAACGCGAGGACGCCGGGGCGCCCGCAGGCGACGCGGTGCTGGCCGTCGGGCTTCCGCACGTCCGCGGCGACCTTGGCGAGGCGGAAGTTGGGGCCGAGGCCGCCGGAGAGCGTCAGGCCGCCCGTCGCGGCGCGGACGCGCGCGCGGATCTCCGCGAGGACGGCGTCGGCGAGGCGGCCCGCGGCGTCGTCGCGGAGGTCCAGCGGCGGCAGCGCGACCGCCGGCGCCGCCGCCTCGTCGTCGCCGTCCGGTGCCTCGTCGTCGCCGACGCCGTCCGCCTCCGCCTCGTCGTCGTCGTCGTCGTCGGGCTCGCCGAAGCCGGCGCCGCGCTTCCGCTTCCGCGGCCGCGGCGTCGCGAGGAGCTTCGTCGCCTCGCCGTGCGAGCCGGCGGCCGCGCGCGCGCGGAGGTAGAGCGTCAGGTCCAGGTAGGCCTCGTCGAGGGAGTAGCAGGCGAGGTGCGGGTCGTACTCGGCGAAGATTTTCCGCGCGACCTTGGACACCGCCGTATATTTCTCAAAGTCCGGGCGCACGAAGACGAGCTCCGCGCGGGGCATGCCGAACTCGGGCCCGCGGCGGCAGAGCTCCTGGCCGATGAAGCCCGGCATCGCGGACCGCACGCCCCATTTGCGCGCGACGTAGTTGGCCGTCGTGATCATGCCGGGCCCGCCCACCGCCACCGGCTTGTCCTTCAGCTCCGGCCGGTCCCGGAGCTCCACGGCCGCGTAGAACATGTCGAAGTCGACGACGCAGCACACGGTCCCCGCCGCGTCCATGGCCCGCCGCGTCGCCTCGAGCGCCGCCTCGCGCTTCCGCAGGTGGTGCGCGGCGACGGAGCGCTTCGTGCCGTCGAACGTCTCGAGCTTTCGCCGCGCGGCCGCGACCCACTTCTCCGCGTCGCCGCGGTGCTCGAGCTTCTCCTTCGTGTAGGAGCTCGACCCGCTGAGCTCGAAGATGATGTTGTTCACCTTCTCCCGGTCGAGGCCTTCCTGCCCACCTTTGGCGGCGGCGTGGGCGAAGAGGCTCGTCGCGACGGAGGCGATGCGCGACGCGTCGTTCGGCGGTCGCTCGGCCATTGCGGCGGCCGCGGACGGCGCGCGCGCGTCGCGCGCGTCGATGTGTTCTGCAGCGCGCTCAGGGCGTTGCTGCGGGCCCCATCGAACCTTCTTGAGCAGTCGACCTCGTGACCCGCCGCGCCGCGCCGCGCGCGCCGCCTCCAGCCCGCTGCCCGAGCACCCCGCTCGAAGACCCCCACGGGCCGCCGCCCACGGCCACACAACGAACGGGTGCGTTTTTTTTTAGAGTCGTCGGGGGGGTCCGCGCGGGCCCGCGCGCCGCGGCGGGCGTGGTTCCGCGCCGGCGGACGTCCCCTAACGGTAGGACTTCTGGTAGCGGGCGCGGGCGCCGGGGCCGCCGAACTTCTTCGACTCGCAGCGCCGGGCGTCGGCGACGAGCAGCGTCCGGTCGTAGGACATGAGGATGTCGCGGATCTCGGTTTTGGACGCCTCGTCGACGTACTTTTGGTAGTAGGCGACGAGCGCCTTGGCGATGGACTGGCGGATGGCGTAGATCTGGGCCGTGAAGCCGCCGCCCTTGACGCGGATGCGGATGTCGACGTTGGCGAAGCGGTGCTGGCCGAGGAGGAGCACGGGCTCGAAGGTCTTGAGGCGGAGGATCTCGGGCTCGAGGAGCTCGATGGGGCAGCCGTTGACCTTGATGAGGCCCCGGCCCTGCTTGCAGTAGGCCACGGCCGTCGCCGTCTTCTTGCGGCCGAAGACCTGCACGCTCTGGATCGCCGACATAGCTACCTGCGGGCGCGGAGACGGTGAGCGGCGGCGCGCGGCGGGCGGCGCGATCGCGCGGCCCCCCTGCTCGTCTCGGCGGCGGCGACGGCGGCGGCGCGGCGGCCGCGCGCCGTCCCGCCGGCGCCGCTCGGCCGGGCGGCGCCGACGCCGCGCTTCCCGGGGGGCGGCGGTCGCTCGCGGTGCGAGCGGCGCCGCTCTCCGTTTGACGGCGTCGGCGAGGCGCCGCGGGCGCGAGTTTTTGGCGTCGCGGCGCGGCAGCGTCGTCGCGGGCCGTGTCGCGGCTGTCCCGTATATTTCTATCTAACGTGTCCTCTCACGGCGGCCATGCGCGGACGCCGGCGCATACAGCAGACTTGATAATAAATCGCTCGCGGGCTGATCAGCTCGCCGACGAGCCTCGGCTATCCTAGTTACCTTATTAGGTTTACCTCGACCGTATCGACCTCCACAAAAAGGCTGCCCCTCGCGCTGCCCTCACCTTCGCCCTTCAACGCGTCTGCAACACCCCATCGAGCGAAGCCTTGTTCTCTCTCTCGCCGGTCGACGACGGTCATACGCGCGAAGGTTTAAGTCCTGCGGACACACCACTTGACATACCCCTTGGCTCGTCGCGGAGGCCATGGTCGTGCTCGCTCCGCAGAACCACGCGCGCAAGACCGTCGGCGGCCGCAAGCGCGCATCGTCGCCCGCCAGCGACATCCCGCCGAAGAAGCGCGCGCTGCGGCCCAAGAAAGACCAGCAGCCGGGGCAGCCCGAGGAGGCGTCCCAGCCCTACCCCCTGGGCTGGTGGATCGTGAAAGCCTTCGACGGCGTCGTGTTCACGGGCCGCGTCGTGCGCGCGAAGCTGCCCGAGCACGACGACGAGGACCGCCGCATCTGGTACACTGTGTGCTACGTCGCCGACGGCGACTCCGAGGACCTGCTCCCGGAGGAGATCGACGCGGGCGTCCGGGCCTTCCGCGAGGTCGTCGACGCCGTCGACCCGTCGCGCGGCGACGCGCCGCATCTGTGACTTGTGTGCCTGTGACTTGTGTGCCTGTGTGCCGCCGCCCCTGTCTTCCCCCCGGCGAAGCGTCGACGCTTCGCTCGACGCTTCGGAGGCCCGGCGCGCGTTTCGGCGGGCCCGTCGGGCACGCCGGCGCGCCGCGCCGCCGGGCCCGCGCGACGGGACGCGCCCGTCGTCGCCGCGCCGCCGCCGCGCCCTCGGCGCGCGGGACCCCAGCCATGTACCCCAGCCATGTAACTCAACTCCGCCTGTCGAGGGAGCGCGTGGCGGGCGGGGGCGAGGGCCTTCCCACCGAGGGGGAGGGCGGTCAGCGGCTATGTGAAACGCCGCTTAGGCTTCGAAGTCAGCCTGGTGACCTCGAGCCTTGCACTCCGAAGATCTCCTGGACGCGCGTGGCGATCTTCCCGAGGCGGCCCGCCGGCGGGACGGCGGCGGCGGCGGCGGGCCCCGGGAGCCGGCGGACGACGAGGACCCCGTCGTGGGCGACGTAGGGCGTCTCGCGGCCGAGGATGTCGACGAGCGCCGCGCGGTCGTCGAGGAGCGCGGCCCGCCGGCTCCCGAGCCGCTCCAGCAGGAGGAGCCCGCCGGGCGCGACGAAAGGCCAGAGGTCGCGGAGCGCCGCGCGCGCGCCGTCCGCGCCCGCGACGCCGCCGCCGGCGACGACGACGTCGTAGGCGCCGGGCCCGCCCGACGCCGCGAGCGCGCGCAGCGCCGCCGGCGCGCCGGCCGCCGGCAGCACGCGGACGCGGTCGTGGACGTCCGCGGCGCGCGCCGCCGCCCGCGGATCGTCCGCGAGGCCCACGACGGCCGCGCGGGGGAAGACGGCGGCCCAGGCTGTCAGCGCCGCGCCGTCGCCGCCGGCCGCGAGCACGGCGCGCGTCGCGTCGCGCCGCCCGGCGAGGAGCACGTCGTAGAGCGGGGCCGCGCGGCGCGCGCCGGCGAGCGCGGCGCTGATCGGGCCGCAGGGCGCGGCGGCGCAGCGCGCGGCGGCGACGGCGTCCGCGAGCGCGCGCTCGAGGAGCGCCCGGACGCAGCCCGCGTCGTCGCAGCCCATGCCCTCGGCGAGGTCGTGCGCCGCGACGAAGGCGCGCACCGCGTCGCGGATCGAGCCGCCCGCGCGCGGCGCGCGCAGCGTCAGCGTCGCGCCGTCGCGCTCGAGCTCGACGACCGCGGCTTCGCCCGCGTCCTCCGCCGTGTCCGTGGCACCGCGAAGTCCGTCGTTGACGGCGGCCTCGAGGACGTCCTGGATGCACGCGGCGTCGTCGCAGCCCATGCCTTCGACGAGGTCGTGGGCGGCGATGAAGGCGCGCACGGCGTCGCCGACGGCCGCCGCGTCGCTCGTTTTCGGGACCTCGAGGCGCAGGATGCCGCCGTCCTTCTCGAGCTCCATGGAAAAGACCTCGTCCGGGGCGACGGGCAGCCAGAGGGCTAGCGCCAAGAGCCATCGGAGAGCGCCCATCGTCCGCCAAGATCCGCTTGAGGTACTCGTTGTCCCTGTAGGACAACACCAACATCGGCGGCAGCGGACGAGCGGCAAGCGCGGGGCGCGCAGAGCAGCAGCGGACGGGACGGTGTAGCAGTCGCGCTGGCAAAGGATGAGCGTCGCCGTGAAGCTCATCGGCAGCGGCAAGTTCCGGCCGTTTCGCAACCTGTGGATGCTGGAGGAGCTGGGCATCGCCTACGAGCACGTGCCCGCGAAGCCCCACAGCGCCGAGTCGCGGGCGAACCCGGGCTTCCCGAACAAGGTGCCGTCGCTGGTCGTCGCCGACGAAGTCACGCTCTTCGAGAGCGCGGCGATCAACACGTACCTCGGCGACCGCTTCCGGTCGGCGGGCGTCGCGGACCTCGTGCCCGCGGCGGGCACGCCCGCGCGCGGCGTCTACGAGCAGTGGGTGCACTGCGGCATGGCGGAGCTCGACGCCCAGGCCCTCTGGATCCACCGCAAGCACGACGCGCTCGCCGACGTTCTAGCGCCGCGCGACCCCGTGGCGACGGAGACCGCGCGGAAGCACGCGGCCAAGGTCTTCCGCGTCTTCGCCGAGGCGCTCGCGGGCCGGGACTACCTCGTCGGCGACCACGGCTTCTCCGCCGCGGACATCCTCTTCGTCCACTGCTGCAACTGGGCCGACAGCATCGGCTGGGCGGCCACGTGGCCCGACGACCTCGGGCCGGACCTCCACGCGGCGCTCGCGGCCTACCTCGACCGGTGCCGCGCGCGCGACGCCTACGCGCGCGCCAAGGCCCTGCCCTGAGCGTCCGCGCTCGTATGTTAGAGCGACACTTATGTATGCCCTGAGCGTCCGCGCCGCGGCTCGTATGTTAGAGCGAACCTTATGTACACGCGAGAAACGGCGGGAGCGAAGAGAGCGAGCGACGGGGCCGCTCTACTGGACGTACTCGCGCAGCTGGACGCAGTCGCGCGTGTGCCGGAGCTTCGTGAGCGCCGCGCGCTCGATGGCGCGGATCTTCTTCTCCGTCTGGCCGCAGATCTCGCCGACCTGGCGCCGCGTCCGCGTCTCGCCGTCGTCGAGGCCGAGGCGCAGGCGGAGCACGTCGCGCTCCGAGGGCTGGAGGTTCGCGTGCATGGCGTAGTCGATGGCGTCGCGGAGCTCGTGGAACGTCGCCGCCTCCTCCGGCGCGGGCTCGTCGCTCTCGACGATCTCGTTGAGCGTCGCCGCCTCCGCGAAATCCGCGACGTGGGACCCCTTGCCTCCCCGCGCCGCACTGAGGGGCACGTCCAACGAGAAGGTCGCCAAAGCCGCGCGGCCCGCGAGCTTCAGGCGCTTCTCCGACGCGCCGACGCGCGCGGCGAGCTCCGCGGACGTCGGCGGCCGCCCGTACTCGTCCCGCAGCTCCTGCGTCGCGTTCTCGCACTTCTTCGCGAGCTGCTGCACGTGGACGGGCACGGCGACGACGGCGCGCCGCCGGATCGCGCGCTGGATGGCCTGGCGCACCCACCACGTCGCGTACGTCGAAAAGCGGAATCCCCGGTCGGGCTCGAAGCGGTCCACGGCCTTGGCCAGGCCGAGCGTGCCCTCGGCGACGAGGTCGTCGAGCGCGTAGGACCCGCCGTCGCGGTCCACGGCGAGGCGCGACGCCTGCGGTAACGACCGCTGCATCCGCCGCGCCATCGCCACCACGAGCCGCATGTTCGAGAGCATCATGACCTCGCGCGCCTCGCGGCACTCCGCGAGCGTCGCCGCGAGCGCCGCCGGGTCCGCGCAGCCGACCGTCGGCGCGAGCTCCGCGTCGGTGGGCGGCCGGTCGTACGCGTCCGCCCACGCGTCCCGCGCGCTTTCGATGGCGACGAGCGTCCGGACCCGCGTGCCGAAGCGCACCTCCTCGTCCTTCGTGAGCAGCGGTCTCGAGAGTAAATCCTTGATGTCGGGGGCGACGATCTCGTTGACGTAGGCGCGGAGGCGCGTGGATTTTTCGCCGCGCGGGGCGTATCGCCGGCGCGCCGGTCGCCGATGGACGGCGCGCGGGGCGACGTGGCGGAAACTGTTCGCCGTGAGCGCCGCGAAGCCCAGCAGGATGGCGAGCGTGGGCCGGCGGCGCGCCGGGAGGGCTGAAGGGCCGAGCATGCGAAGGATTTCTACCGACTGTGCGCCATGCCCGACAGCAGCCTGTTTTTGCGGCTGCCGTACGCGTGGCGCGCGGCGCGCGGGAGCACGCGCCGGGGATCCGGATCGACCGTCGGAAGGCGCCGCGCGCGCGCGTTCGCGCGGCTGCGTGCGCTCGGAACTAGGAGTGGGCTGTGCCATGCGCATCAATGAGCGCGCTAGTCGCGGAACTCCGAGGGCTGGCGCTTGTGGGCGTAGGTTTTCGCGCGTACTCGTCGACGCGACTTGAAGACCGCAGAGTGTTCACGTTCGCTTTGTATGCCACGTACCACCTGCACACAAGCGCAACGTCATGCGAGCGGCGGTCCACACAGAAGACGCGGACCGTCAACTCGACGTCCGTGGGAACGAGACGTCTGTAGTCAACGCCGACGTCGAGCAGGATGACCGCGATCTACCCAGAAGATAAAGAACCCCGTAATGAAGTGGGATTTGAATACAAGGAGCCGAACGTTAGTCCGCGCACTCTAACAATACAACATGTTCAGAATGTAACGTTGTGTTTGTGTCATCTCGTTACGTGCGCGCGCTCGAGGACCAGCTCGACATCGACTTCGGCCACATCATCGTCCTCGACGTCTGCTACCAGATCGACGAGCACAAGAACCCCGACGGCAACGGCTGGCACTGGATCTACCAGTGGCCACGAAAAAACCGCCGCCGCGGCGCGCGGCCCCTTCCTTGTACTACTAGCACGCGCCCGGCCACTGGCACGCGCCGCCAAAGCGCCCGTGAGCGTCTAACTCCGCTGAGAGCGTTCTTCGTGGGCCGATCGAGCCTTCAGCTTTGCCGCAGGGATTAATTCGCGACTCCTCCGACGGCCTCGCACGGCGCGGAACGCGCGGGGCATGCGCTCTCGGCCAGAGTTGCCCCAGCCGTGCAGTGGATTTGAACAATGGCTAAGGCTTTGAGAGCGTGAAAACTCGAGCCGCAGCGCTAGAACAGGTCGTCAAAGCGCTACACGAAGCACGAACACACGAACCGCTCCCACCGCCGCAGCGATGGCCGTCGCCGCGGACGCCCCGACGACGGAAGACGCGCGCCTCTTCGAGGTCTGGAAGGGCTCCCTGGCGGTCTGCCTCGGCATCCTGGCCAAGGCCGGCCGCGGCGCGCTCGCGTCCAGCGACGGCGGCGAGGCCTGCGGCGCGCTGACGAGCCTCCTCGGCGGCGCGACGGGCGCGGCGTCGGCGCTCGAGGCGCAATTCGGCGAACTGCGCGCGTCGCTCGCCGGCGCGCTCGGCGTCGTCGACGAGCTGCGGGACCTCGTCGCCGCGCAGCAGGCGGCCCTGGCGACCCGCGAGGCGAAGCGCGCCGGGGCCACGGCGTCGCGCGGCTGCCAGACGGACGCCGCGCCGACGGACGAGGAGGCGCGCCTCGCCGCGAGAGTGCGCGAGCTCGAGGACTGCGTCGCCGCGGAGCGCGAGGCGACGCGCATCGCCAAGGTCGTCTGCGAGACGCTCCAGCGCAAGGCGTCCCGCGCGGAGGACGACGCCGCGGACGCGCGGCAAACGGCCGCCGCGGCCAAGGCCAAGGCGCGGTCCCTCGAGCGCATCGTCGCGCACTACGAGGCCATCGGCGACCACCGGCGGGAAGACGCCGAGCGGCCGCCCCGGGGGGACGACGGCGCCGCGGGGAGCTAACGCATCGTCCGGCGGCGAGGCGTGCGGCGCGGCGCTGCCGACCTGAACTCTGTGGGCGCTTATCCAGGGGGGATCGTGGGGTACCTCGGCGAGCCGAGCCAGGCGGCGGCCGGAGGCCGCCCCCTAGCCGTCGCAGCGGAGGTTGGTCGTGAGGGTGGCGAGGGCGGCGCGGTCCGCGAGGCGGCGCGCGTCGTCTTCGAGTCGGTGGGAGAGGGCGCGGGCCTTGGACGTCCAGGTGCCGTCGACGAACTTGAGGCCGGAGATCAGGTAGCGCGCGCGGAACTCTGTGGCTAAACCCAGTGCGCACATGATGGACCGCTGCCTTCTCGCGCTGCTGGCGACGACAAACGCCTTCGCGCCGCCGACATCGCACGTCCACACGCCGTCGATCCGCTCCTCGGCGGCGGAGTCGCTGATCGAGGACGACGGCTTCGCCCTCGCGCGCCACCGCCAGAATCCGTCCATCCAGCGCCGCCTCTTCGGCCGCCAGCCCGGCACGCTCATCCTCGTGCGCCACGGCGAGTCGACGTGGAACGCGAACTCGACCTTCACGGGCTGGGCCGACGTCGACCTGTCCGACCGCGGCGAGCGCGAGGTCGAGCACGCGGCGCGTCTGCTGCTGGAGGCCGGGTACGTCGTCGACGTCGCCTACACGTCGCGGCTCCGCCGCGCGATCCGCAGCTGCTGGATCCTCCTGCGCGGTCTGGGCAAGGTCTACAGCCCCGTCTTCAAGTCCTGGCGCCTCAACGAGCGCCACTACGGCGCGCTGACGGGCCTGTCGAAGCCGGGGTTGGCGCTGGAGCTCGGCGAGGCCGCGGTGCAGGCCTTCCGCCACGGCTTGGAGGATCTCCCGCCGCCCATGCCCGCCGACGGGTCCCACGCCTACGACGACCGCGGCGACCGCAAGTACGCGGACCTGGGCACCGTGCCGGCCGGCGCGGTCCAATCCGTTCGATGACGCTCGCATTGAAGTCGGGGTGAAGATTTGATTCGCACGCAGGTCCCCGCGACGGAGTCGCTGTCCGACACGATGGCGCGCGCGCTGCCGCTCTGGGATTCCAAGATCAAGCCGGACCTGCTCGCGGGCCGCAACGTCATGGTCGTCGCCCACGGGAACTCGCTGCGGGGCCTCGTGAAGCACATCGACGGCATCTCCGACGACGAGATCACGTCCGTGTCGATCCCCAACGGCATCCCGCTGGTCTACAAGTTCGAGCGCACGCGCGACTACCGTCTCGACGTGCAGCCCTTCGAGAGCTCGTCGCTCCCGGCCGACGACGACCTCGCGCAGGCCAAGGTCCGCGGCGAGTTCCTCGAGAAGCGGGGGCTGCTGCGCGCGGCGCTCCAGGCCGAGTCGGAGCTCAAGAGCCGCGTGCCGGGCGCGCTCTCCGCGCCCGACACGTTCTCCGTGCGCGCGCTCAAGAAGCTCGAGCTCGAGCGCAAGCTCATCGACCTCGCGGGCGACTCGGACCAGCTCAACGCGACGCTCTCCAAGGCCAAGGAGGCGCGGTTCTTCCCGGCGGGCGTCGCGGACCCCGTCGACGGCGGGTTCTACATGGGCGTGCCGGGGGGCGAGCGCGCGCGCGCGGACGTCGCGGCGCCGCCGGGGGCCCGCGGCCGCGCGCCGGACCGGTGCCTCGTGATCCTGCGCCACGGCAAGACGGAGCACAACAAGCTCGGCTTGTTCACGGGCTGGGAGGACGCGGGCCTCGCGCCCGAGGGCCGCGCCGAGGCGTCGCTCGCCGGCCGCCTCCTCCGGGCCCACGGCTTCGAGCTCGACATGGTCTACACGTCCTGGCTGTCGCGCGCCATCGAGACGGCCTGGATCACGCTGAGCGAGCTCGACAGCCTGTGGATCCCCATCGTGAAGACGTGGCGCCTCAACGAGCGCATGTACGGCGCGCTCACGGGCCTGTCGAAGAAGATGATCGCGCAGCTCCACGGCGAGGACCAGTTCCGCGAGTGGCGCCGGTCCTACCGCGTGCGGCCGCCGCGCGCGAGCTCCTTCAGCCCCCAGTACCCGGGCAACGACGACCGGTACCAGCGCTACGTCAACGACGTCCGCTACTCCTTCGGCGAGTCGATCATCCGCACCATATCGGCGAGGCAGCTCGTCATGGCGCGCAAGGTGCCCCACACGGAGTCGCTCAAGGACTGCATGGACCGGACCATCCCCTACTTCGAGGAGGTCATCGGCCCGTCGCTGGAGAACCGGACGGTGCTCATCGCGTCGTCGGAGAACGCGATCCGCGGCCTGCTCATGAAGCTCTGCGCCGTGCCCGAGGACCGCGTCAACGAGGTCGAGATCCCGACGGGCCTGCCGCTCATCTACGACCTGGACCAGCGGTGCCTGCGGCTGCTCGACGACGGAAAGTACGACGCGGACCCGGATCTCGCGCTCGCGCGCTGGAACTTCGGCACGGCGAAGGACTTGTTGTTCCGGCCCTGCGCGCCCGAGGACCTGAAAACGGACTACTGCACGGTCGACGGCCGGCCGGACCCCATCATCCGGCTCGCGGCGAAGCCCGCGGGGCTCGACGCCGCCGCGGCCGCGCGCGTCGACGACAACCTCGCGGACCCCATCATCCTCGGCGCGCTCGCGGGGCCGGCCTAGGGCGGGTGGTTCTTAATATTCGGAGTCGCGGTCGCTCTGCCAGAACGCGAGCGCGTGCGTGCACACGTCCGCGGGGGCCTCGGCGAAGAGCCACTCGTGCGCGCGGACGCTCGACGGACCGAGGCGGCGCAGCGTCGGCAGATCCCGGCGGAACGCGAGGAGCGCGGCGCGCGGCTGGGCCACGTAGGCGTCCCAGCCCCCGGCGCCGCGCACGGCGGCGAGGAGGTCGGCCGCGTACGGACTATTGCTAAAAGGTCGACGTGCATGTTCCTCGGGGGTCCTGCCGCTGCGATCGCGCGCGTCGAGAGAAGCGCCGCGACTTAGGAGGAGCTTGCACATGCTGCCGCGGCTGTTCGATACAGCCTGAAATACAGCGCGGTGGAGCGGCGTGTTCCCACGTCCGTCGAGACTCTCGATTTGTTCACCCGCATCGAGCAGAATGACCACAGCGGCGCAATGGCTATTATCCACGGCGGTGTGAAGTACCCTCGAGGATCCGAGAGAATTATGTCCAGCATTTGCAGGGCTGTGTTGCAGGAGCCACCTGATCGCCGCGCACCAACCTTGATGCGCAGCATGATGCAGGAACGTCCTCGAAGAATAGTCCGAATAACTTTCTCGGAGAGTCTCGAGGTGAAGGTTCAGGTCCACGCTGATGGCCTCGAGGCATGTGTAAGCACGACCCGGGTTCGAGGAGTGAAACTTCCAGGGCTTGTTAAACCCACCAGGCGCGCCGTCATCGTACCAGTCTTGCAGGAAGTCGACAAAAGCGGCCTGGTGCGCCTCATCTCTGGCTCGCTTCGCAACTACGAGCGGGGGCAGCGCCTCATCTCTGGCTCGCCTCGTCGCTGCCCCAGCTCGTTGTTGCCCGGCCTCCTTGGCGGCTGCCCAAAATGCCTCCGCACGAGTCGACTCCATCGCTTTGCGCCGCAGGTCAAGATCGACCCGATGCCTTCAACGGAGCAGTATCGCCGTTCGCAATTTCATTCGCGGGCAGCATGGGCGCGATCGACGCCCAGCAGTTCTATGCAGCCCTCGCCATCGTCATCTTCGCCATCTGGGCCTCGGGCACGTTCCTGGCTGGCGCGGATCTGCACCGGCGCGGCCTCAGCAATCCCGTGGCCACGGTCCCGTCCTGCCTGCCGACGCCCGTCCTCCTCTTCGTGCTGCGCCGCGCGTGGCTCTACCGCCTGATCTGCCACCTGCCCGTGGTAGCGCTGCTCGCCGCGTCGCGCGCGCCGGACGTCGCGGCGCTGCGCTACGCCGCGGCACTGAGCTTCTCCTGCTACGCGTGCTGCGAAACGTCGGTGACGAGAAGCCATCGCGACTTCCCCGCGGTCTACGTGCTCTGGGCCCTCGCGCTCTACGGCGACTCGCCGACGGCGGCGGGGCTCGCGCTGGGCGTCGGCATCCACCTCATGCTCTCGAGCGGCGCGGCGAAGCTCACCATCGGCGGGCGCGCGTGGGCGGCGCCGGCGACGATGCGGAACGTGCTGCGCACCTACCTGGAGCACGACGGCCCCGACGGCCCCCTGCTCCGGCCCCTCGCCGAGGCCGCCGCGCGCTCCGACGTCGCCATGGCGGCCTTCGGCGGCGGCGCGCTGTTCTTCGAGGTCGCTCTCGTGCCCGCGCTCGGGCTCCTCCTCCCCGCGCGGCTCCGGCCGCTCGTCGCCGTCGGCGCCGTGCTCATGCACGCGGGCATCGCCTGCCTCCAGAGCCTGGCCATCGGCGTCGCGTTCCTCGTGAACGTGCCCGTCTACGCCTACGGCTTCGGGGCGGACTTCGAGCCCTTCGCGGCGGCCGGGTTCCCGCAGGCCGCGGCCGTCGTCGCCGCGTCCGCGGCGCTGGTCTTGGTGTTCGGCCCGCTGCCCGAGGACTGGCCGAGCACGCCCTTCGCCCTCTTCCCCTGGAACGGCGACCAGTGGGCCGCGCTCTTCGACGCGTACGTCGTCGGCGACACGCGTTTGGTGCTCTCCCCGGAGAACGATCCGCCGCGGTCGGGGAAAACGATCGTCTACAAGAAGCACGAGTCCGACGGCGAGCTCGGCGGCGACGAGGGGCGGCCCGACGCGTCCCGGCCCTGCTGCTTCGACGCCTGGGACCAGGTCTTCGGCGAGACGCTCGCGCCGCCGCCGTTCGTGACAGACGCGCTCGCTACCTTGCCCCTCGACCAGCACCGCGTCTGCGCCGCGCTGGACGCGTTCCTCGAGGCGCGGACGGTCGTCGCCGTCGACGGCGGCGCGCCCCTCGTGTCGGCGCGCTTCGCGCGCGTCGAGCCGGGCACCGCCGTCGTCGCCGCTATCCTCGCGGACGGGAGGACGCCCGCGCCGCCGGCGAAGAAGGTCGCCGCGTAATTCGTCTTAGGAGAGGCGCAGGATGAGGTGGAGGCCGCTCGGCGTGTCGACGACGCCGCTCAGCGCGCCCGGCTCGAGCGCGAAGGCCGCGGCCTCGAAGCTCTTGTCGAGCTCGCCGCGCGCGAAGGGCTTGAGCTGGCCGTCCTTGGCCGACGACGGGCAGTCGGACCGGTCCCGGGCGGCGGCGGCCAGCGCGCCGGCCCGGTCCTCCGCGGCCGCGACGGCCGCGCGGAGCGCCTCGAGCTCCGCCGCCGCGTCGGCCTTCGAAAGGGCGATCGTCGCCGTCCGGTGGCTCGAGGGCCGCTTGGAACCCGCGTGCTTGACGAGCACGTGGCGCACGACGACCTTGGCCTCGGCGCCGGGCGCGTCCCAGCGCCTCTCGCCCGTCGCCTCGTTGACGCAGTACCACGAGCCCCGTTCGCTCCGCGACTCACGCCAGGCCCAGGGCGCGGGGAGCGGCGGCCGCCCCGTGGGCGGCGCGGGCGCCGCGGGCGGCGCGGCGCCGAAGCCGGGCGCGCGGTCCCGGCGCCTCTCGCGGCGCCGGTCCGCCGAGTCCGACCGCGACCGGCGCCGGTCGTCGCGCGACCGCGACCGCCGGTCGCGCGACCGATTCCGCCGCCGCTCGCCGCCGCGGTCCCGCGACCGCGACCGGCGGTCCCGGGACCGCGACCGCCGGTCCCGGGACCGCGACCGCCGGTCCCGCGACCGGCGGCGCCCCTCGCCCGCGGCGGCGCGCACGAGCCGCTGCTGCGCGTCCTCGCGGCCGCCGCCGGCGTCGCGGCCGCCGGCCTTGCGGATCGCGGCCTTGTCGCCGTCGCGCGTCGCCTGCCGCTTGAGCAGCTCGGCCTTCTTCCGCTCGACGAAGGCCCGGGGGATGCCGTGGGGCGCGTCCTGCGCGTCCAGCAGCAGCTTCCAGAGCTCGGCGACGAACGGCGCCGCCTGCCGGTCGAGGAAGCCCGTGAGCTGGATCTGGAGCTGCTTCGGGTCGACGCGCTTGACCTGGCCGGAGAACGCGTCCTGGGTCTGCGTGAGCATGTTCTCCACGAGGTTCACGACGACGTCGTCCTCGAAGCCTAGGAGTTCGGTGAGGCGCTCGTTCACCCAGCGCACCATGACCTCGACGTTCACCTTCTCGATGTTCAGCTTCTGGTCCAGCGACGCGTCGAACTTGCCCGCGGCCGTGAGCTTCTTGATGAGCTTCTTGTCCGCGTCGCCGTAGTTCTTGATGTCCACGCTCATGGTGGCGACGCGGGCGGACGGCGCGGCGGCCGGCCCGGCACTCGCTTGCGGGCGGCCGGACGGGGGGCCGGGTGCTCGACGGTGCAGGTAATCTCGTTCTCCCTTCACGGGCAGCTTCCGCGGTTGACATCACCGCAGAAGGCGTCGCTGGGGATCGGGCTTCTCTTCCGCGACGTTATCATGGCGTCCAAGGCCGTCCCCGGGCGGGGCATCACGCTGCCCTTCGTCGAGGGCCTGCACGGCACGCCCTTCTACTTCAAGCTGAACCCCTACGTGACGCTCTACAGTTGCGTTTTGATCTGGGGCTTAATCGTCTACACCATCTCCATGCGCTGGGACGCCTACAAGGAGTTCCAGACCTGGTTCCAGTGGGTCACGGACGAGTGGACCTGGCTCTACATCGCGTCGCAGAACCTGTGGATCGGCGTGCTGCTCTACATCCTGTGCAGCAAGTACGCGAAGATCAAGCTCGGCGGGCCAAACGACGAGCCCGAGTTCAGCCGCGTGCAGTGGTTCGCCATGCTCTACTGCTGCGGCGTCGCCGTGGGCCTCTTCTACTACGGCGTCGCCGAGCCCATGTGGCACTTCCACGGCGGGGGCCGGCGTCCCGCGGCCGCGGCGACGTTCGAGAGACGTCGGCCGGGAACACGACGAAACGTCGCGACCGTCGCGCTCCGTAGGCTGGGGCGGCGCGCGCTGGATGGACGCGGACATGAACGACAACGAGAAGGCGAACCACGCGCTCATGGTCACGTACTTCCACTGGGGCTTCCACGGCTGGGTGCCCTACGTCGTCATCGGCGCCCTCATGTCCATCATGTCCTACCGGCGCGGTCTGCCGCTGACCATGCGGTCCTGCTTCTACCCGCTCTGGGGCAAGGCCATCGAGGGCTGGCGCGGCGACGTCGTCGACGTGCTCTCGATCGTCTGCACGCTCTTCGGCGTCTGCACGTCGCTCGGCCTCGGCGTGCGCCAGCTCAACAAGGGCCTCGTGCGCCTCGACCGCGGCACCTACGCCGGCGAGGACATCTTCGGCGGCCAGTGGGGCGACGACCCGCCGCAGCGCGCCGGGTGCAGCGGCGAGGACTGCCACAAGGGGCGCCTCGGCATTTTGTTCAACGTGAAGACGCAGATCGTCATCGTCTGGGCCGTGACGGCGCTGGCGACGACGTCGGTCGTGCTGGGGCTGAAGAACGGCATCGCGGCCATCTCCTACGTCGCCTTCGGCATGGGCATGATTCTCGTACTCGCGGTGCTCTTCATGGACGACACGATGTACATTTTGGACGCCATGACGACGTCCTTCGGCTACTACCTCTGGTACCTGCCGAAGATCTCCTGGGAGACGGACGCGTGGGCGCGCCTCGGCGCGGACCACGGCTGGAGCCGCAACGGCCCCGGCGCCGAGGCGTCCGTCGTCATCGAGGGCGACAACTACGGCGGCCCCGACGGCCAGGGCGGCGACGAGGGCTGGATGCACTCCTGGACCATCTTCTACTGGGGCTGGTGGATCTCCTGGGCGCCCTTCGTGGGCACGTTTCTCGCGCGCATCTCCAAGGGCCGCACGCTCGGCGAGTTCATCATGTTCACCCTGATCCTCCCCGTGCTCTACTGCGTGCTCTGGTTCGGCGTCTTCGGCGGCGCGGGCATCCGCATGCAGTTCGAGGCGCTCTACAACAACGACGACTGGGACTGCGGCTTCTCGCCGACGGCCGGCGACGTCAAGTCGACGCGCCTCGAGAAGAGCGGCTTCGAGGCGAAGCACAACCAGGCCTACACGGTGAACCTGTGGTGCCTCGACACGGAGGACATCTTCTTCGACATGCTCGGCTCCTACGGCTCCCGCCAGCTGTCCTACGCGCTCACGGGCTACTCGTGGATCTGCCTGCTCCTCTACTTCATCACGTCGTCCGACTCCGGGTCCTTCGTCATCGACATTCTGGCCGCGAACGGCGACCCGGACCCGCCCCTCTTCCAGCGCGTCCTCTGGGCCATCACGGAGGGCGCCGCGGCGACGGCGCTGCTCAAGGGCGGCGGCGGCGACCCGGACCGCGGCCTCAAGGCGCTCCAGGCCGTCTCCGTCGTCTCGGGGTTGCCCTTCACGATCGTGCTCATGTACATGTCCCACGCGCTCTACATCGCCGTCCAGGAGGAGGTCGGCGACCTCGACGAGTTCCGGCCCGACTTCCGGACCTCGTGCCTGGAACTGACGTGGAAGACTGTGCCGAAACCAACCACTGGTTTGGGTGGTCCTGACCAAACTTGAGAATTCTCTAGCTCGGTCAAATCAAAGTCGATTCGGCTGATTTTTGGACGGATCGATCGCTCTCGTCGAGTTCTCGAAGCCCAGCCGAAGAGCTCGTGTCAAAACATTCGAATACGCTCACATTGAAGTCGGGTTGAAGATTTGGTTTCGGCACAGGTGGAAGACGGCGTCGCGGCTCTACGCCTTGATCGCGTTCCCCTTCGTCTACGTCTGGAAGATCCTGACCAAGCTCGACGACGACAAGACCCTCGTGTACACGGCGTTAGCCTTCCTCATCTTCTATTTCGGCGTCGTGCTCCTGCTGCTCGCGCCCATGGAGGCGAACCTCCGCATGATCGCGGGCGCGTTCTACATGGCCTTTGCGGCCGTCGTCGCCTACTGCCGCTACAGCGTGCGCAAGAAGCTGGGCATCGCGACGGGGGACCTCATGACGGACTACTGCATCGCCGTGCTCTTCTACCCGCTGGCGCTCGCGCAGTGCGAGCGCGAGATCGACCTCGGGCCCGTCCGCTACGCCGCGGCCGCGCGCGAGACGGACGACGTCGAGGGCGGCGACAACGTCCGCGACGCCGAGGCGACGGAGATCGCCAAGGACGTCAAGGAGGGCGCGGTCCTCGCCTACGACAAGGCCCACGAGGCCTAGGGCGCGAGCGCGCGCCCCCCCGCGGCCAACCGAACGTCCGGTACCGCCCGCCCCACCGACACACACGCGGCGGCGCGCCGCGCCTTTTTTTGCGCCCCGCGGCGGCCTAACACCACCTCGCGGGTTCTGATGCCGAGGCCTATGCGCGGGCCTATGCCGGCCTTCGTCGCTGCGGCCATGGAAGGCTCATGGACGCGTACGGGATCCTGACCGGCGGCCGTCGACAAGGTTTGATGTGCTCGGCTCGAGCAGTGCACGGCGCCTCGCCGAGCGCAGTGAGGGCCTCCGCGCGCGCGATCGTCGTTGCTCTTGCGCGCGCGCGATCGTCGTCGAGCACTGCAGGGCGCCTCGCCGAGCGCGAGGTGTGAGCCTCTTGCGCGCGCGCGATCACGCGCAGACCATGTACCTCGTGCATCGCCTGCTGCACCAGGCCACGGGCGTGAGCCGCTGCTGCTGGGCGCGGATCGGTAGCGGCGAGGAGGAGCTCGTCGTCGTGCGCGGCCGCGGCTTCGAGGTCTACGGCGTCGTCGCGTCGACGCTGCAGCTGCGGTGCGCCTTCAGCTTCGAGCAGCGCATCCACGACCTCGCACCGTGCCGCCGGCCCCGTGGGCCCCGCGACGCGCTGGTCCTGAGCTTCGGCGTCTTCAAGGTCGCGCTCGTCGACGTCGACGGCGACGGCGAGCTCCGGGACCTCGCCCTGTTCGACCTCGAGCCGGGCGCCGCGGGCCTCGGCGCCGCGCCGCTGGCCGACGTCGAGACCAAGCCCTTCGGGAGCGCCGCGACGGACCGGACGCCGCCGGCGCTCGCGGTCGCGCGCGACGGGTCCTCGGCCGCCGCGCTCGTCGAGGGGCGGTTGGTCGTCATCCCGCTCCTGTGCTGCCCGGACGCGGACACCGGCGAGCCGCCGAAGCCCTGGATCGCCGAGCGCGCGGCGAAGCGGGGCGAGCTGCCCCGCTTCTTCGACTACGCGCCGGGCGCGGGGCCCGCGACGTTGATCGTCGTCCTGGGCGACGCGCGCGGCGACGTGCCCAAGTCGACGCGCGTCGCGGCGCTGGGCGTCGACGTCGCCGGGCGGCGCGTCTACCCGCTCTGGTCCGTCGACGGCCTCCCGCCCGTGGCCCAGTGCCTCGCGTGCACGCGCGACGGCGGGCTCGTCGTCGTCTTCCGCAACTCGCTCGCGAAAATCGCGCGCGGCGGCGCGTACGAGGCGCTGGCGCTCAACGGCTTCGCGGATCTGGACTTCTCCGCCGAGTCCGCGGGCCGCCACCTGCTGCGCGCCAACGACGAGAAGCTCGCGGTCGCCGTAGGCGGGGAATGCGCGGCCGCGGAGCTCGTCGACGACGTCGTGCTGCTGAGCCTCCCCGGCGCGTCCACGTGCTGGGTCCTGGACGGGCGGCGCGGGCGGCTGCACCTGCGGCCGTTAGCGGCGGCGCCCGTCGCGTCCTGCGTCGCCTACGACCCGCGGCGGCGCCGCGTCTTCCTCGGGTCCTTCGACGGCGACGGCGTGTTGGGCGACGTCGGCCTCGCGGCGGCGCCGAACCGGCGCCTCAGCAAGAAGCCCAAGCTCGACGAGGGCTTCGCGGACGCGTCGGACGAGCTGCCGGAGGGCGTGACGCGGGAACAGGCTGACGCGGAGTGGCGCGCGCTCTACGGCGCCGCGCGCGGCGGCTTCGGCGCGGACGTGGCGCCGCCGCCGCTGCGGCTCACGGCGACGGACTCGCTCCTCGGCGTCGGCGCCGTCGTCGACGCGACGTGGTCCGCGCGGACGACGCACCGCTGGCCCTTCCAGCCCCAGCGCAACGCGGACGTGAAAAAGACCGCGGCCGAGGCCGCGGCCGCGGGCCGCGCGGAGCTCGTCGCGTGCTGCGGCGCGTCGTCCGGCGCGCGCGGGTCTCTCGCGACGCTCGGCGGCGGCGCGGCCGTGCGGGCGTTGGCGACCTTCGCCGTCGACGGGGTCGCGAAGCTCTTCCGCTTCGGCTGGCGGGGGCCGTTCCGCGGGGAAGAAACGAAGAGCCGCGAGGTGTCGACGCGCGACGTCGTCGTCGCGGCGACGTCGTCCGGCGCGCGCTGGTTCCTCTTCGACGGGACGACGTTCCAGGAGCAGGCCCTGGAATTCGACGACAGCGACGACCTCGTGGGCGTCGTCGCGCCGCCCGTCGCCGACGCCGAGAGTTTCGTCTTCCTCGTCTTCGCCCAGGGCGGCTTCGTCGCCACGAAGGACGCGGCGCGCGTGCGCGCGGGGTCCCTGGCGGCCGACGGCCTCGCGGCCGTGGCGTCCCACGAGGCGCGCCACGTCGCGCTGACGGCCAACGGCGACGCGTTCGTCGTCGATAGTGAAGGCGACAAGCTCTCGCTCGGCGACCAGGTCTTCGACGACGAGGTCGAGGCCGTGGCCGTCGCGCGGTGCCCCGGGAGCCTCCTGGCGCCCGTGGAGGCCATGGACGTGGACGACGCGGCGCCGGCGCCGGGGCGGTGGCACGCGGCGACGAAATTCGACGAGCGCGCGTACCTCTACGGCGCGGACCTCGAGGACGCCAAGCCCGTGAAGAAGGAGGTCGACGCGTCCTTCGTCTTCTGCGTGGGCATCCTCGGCGACGGCGCGCTGGCGTCGCGGCGCGTCGACGGCGACGGATCGTGTCGGCGGTGGCCCGGCGCGACGCTGGGGCCGCCGCGGCTGCTCGCGGGCGCGCGGCTCGACGCCGACGACGAGGGCGTCCCGCCGCCGCGCTGCGTCGCCGTCGCGCTGCAGCGCGTCGGCCCCGTGCTCGCCGTGGAGACCGTGGGCAAGTGGTGTTTAGCGTTGGCGCTCGAGACGGGCGATTTGCTCGTCTACTGGTCGGACGGCGTCACGCCGGGCCTCCGGAAGCTCGAGCACGACTTCATCGGCCGGCCGCGGGCGGGCGTCGACGCCGCGGCCGTGAGCCTGAGCCCCTTCGGCAACGTCGAGAGCCGGAGCGGCGTCTTCCTCGGCTTGGCGAAGCCCGCCGCGCTGCTCTGCGAGCGCGGGTTGCCGACGATCGTCCGCGTCGACGCCTTCGGCGGCGACGAGCCGGCGGCGGCGACGAGCGGCGCCTGCTTCGCGCCGCTGCCGTCGATCCGGGGCTTCCTCGTCTGCTGCAAGGGCGGCGGCGATGCGTGGGCCGCGCGCGTCTGCGGCGGCCTGGGCAACGTCGTCCTCGCGGGCGCGTCGCCGTCGTCGCGCCTCGTCGTCCACAAGTCGCCGTTGGAGGGCGCGGCGCCCCTGCGCGTCTGCTCGCTGGGCCCGCCGCCGCCGGGCGTCGACGCCGCGCCGGCCTACGCCCTGCTCTGCGCGCGGCCGCGCGACGACGGCTACGTCGAGGGCGAGGTGCTCGACGAGGACGCGGAGCCGTCGACGGAGGCCCCGAACGGCTGCAAGGCCTGGCCGTTGGAGTGCCTCCACGACGGCCGGCTCGGCGGCGTGCCGCCGCCCGCGGCGTCGAACAAGGGCGAGGTGCGGCTCGTGACGGGCCTGGGCTTCTCGACGCTCCAGAGGGTGATCCTCCGGAGGGGGGAAAGGGGCGTGTCGCTGTCCATCGGCTACTTCATGAAGAAGGCGGAGCGCGCGAAAGTCTGCTACGTGATCTGCGGCACGGTCCACGAGTCCGGCATCGGCGAGGACGGGCCCACGCGGGGGAGAATCCTCTTGCTCGAGGTCGAGTACCGGGCCGTGCGGCGGAAGCCGCCCAAGGACAACCCGGACAACAGGCGGGGAAGACGCTGCGGCTACCTGCCCGTGCTCAAGGTCGCCTACGAAAAAGAAGTGAAGGGCTGCGTGTCCTGCGTCCGCCAGCTCCAGGACCATGTATTGTGTGCCGTTTCGAACCGCGTCGAGGTCTACCTCTTAGATCCTTCCGGCAAGCTGTTGCAGATCGCCATGCTCCACGGCCAGGTCCACATCGTGTCCCTCAAGGTCGTGAAGAACTTCGTGCTCTACGCGGACGTCTACCAGTCGGCGCACCTGCTCTACTGGCGCGACCGCGACCGCATGCTCATGGAACTGGCCAAGGACGGGGACCACGCGCTGTCGTCCGTCGCCGCGGCGGACTTCGTCGTCGACGCGGGCGAGCTGCCGGGCACGCACGCGCTGGGCATCGTGCTCGGCGACGGCGACGCCCTGCGCCTGCTCCAGTACGCGCCCCTGGGCTCCGCGCGCGACCGCGGGGGCAAGAAGTTGCTGTCAGGGCAGGAAAAGAGAGCGAAATTCCCAACTTCAAAGGCTCGTATCTCGGCCGTTTTCCACTCGTTTCGGCTGATTTTTGGACGAGCGATCATCTCTAGGAACGGTCTCGAAGCGTGGACGCTTTTCACGGAACGCGCGCGCGCGGAACACTCACATTGAAGCGAAGTTGAATCACCCTTTTCCTGCCCAGGTTGCTGTCGCGGTCGCACTTTGCTTTGGCGTCGCCCGTGTCGGTCATGCTCCGGCACCGCGTCGGCGACGTCGGCGACGCGCTGGGCCCGGCGCGCGTCGCCGCGGTCTACGGGTCGCGGGACGGCGCCGTCGGCGGCGCGTTCCCCGTGGACGAGCGCGCGTTCCGGCGCCTCGGCGCGCTCGCCGCGGTGCTCGCGAACGCGCTGCGCCACAACGCGGCGCTGCACCCGGACAAGAATCTGCTCGCGAGCACGCACGCGCGGAACGTGCTCGACGGCGACCTCCTCTTCCGCTACGTCGCCCTGGACCACCAGCTCCAGGTCGACCTCGCGAAGGCCGTCGGCACGACGAAGGACACGATCCTCGACACGCTCCTCGCCGTCGACGACCTCGCGAACTTCCTCTAGGCGTAAGCGCGCTTAGACGACGTCCCCCTCGACGCCGGGGATCTCCAGGCCCTCCGTCGCGGACCGCGCCTTCGCGCGCGAATCCCGGGACACCGCGCCCTCGGACCAGAAGAGCCGCGTCCACCACCGGTAGGACCGCGTCGCGCGGAGCGTGAAGGCGCCGTAGAGCGCCAGGCCCGCGCCGACGGCCGCGGCGATGGTCGCGTCGGCCCACCAGAGGCCGAAATGGGTGTCGAGCACGTAGCTCAGCAGCACGCCTAGAGACATCGCGGAGCCGCAGAGGCTACAGATCGCGTCCTTTTTGAGAGACGGGCTCTCGATGGCGACGGCGATGCGCCACTTGAAGCGGCCCAGGATCAAGAACACGACGAAGGACGGCAGGGCCAAGGATAGTAACGCCAGCCGGTCCTTGAGCGGGTCCCGGTGGAGCAAATGGCTCGTCGCGTTGCCCGCCACGGTGCACCCGAGCGCGACGAACATGAGCGCGATGCCCGCGTCCGTGCGCTGCTCGCGCCTTTCCAGCACCTCGTCCGTGTGGTTCGTGTCGAAGCGCCACAGGATGAGCACGGACCCCAGCGTGTCGACCAAATTCTCGAGGGCGAAGCCCAGCGTCGACGAGCTGTGGGAATTTAAAGTAATAAAGAGGCCCGCGACGACGGCGGCGATGGTGACGAGCAGCGACACGAGGCTCACGTTGTACGCCGACCGCGTCGTGAACGCCGGCGCGGCCGCCGGGGGCGGCGCGGCGGCGGGCGGGCACATGGCGCACGCAGCCCCAACCGACTTGGTCGTCCGGCACACGGTGCCGCGGCGGTGCAAACCTATATCTTCCCGCCGCGGGCAGCTTTTTAGAGCACGTCCATCGCAGCAGCATGGACGGCCGGGGCTCCTACGAGGAGGTGCCCGGCGGCGACGACGCGGGTCCGTGCGCGCCGCGCGCGTCGCGGCGGGGGCGGCTCGCGGTGGTCGGCGGCCTCCTCTCCGCCGCGGCGCTCGCGTCCCTCGGCCTCGGGTCGTCGTCCTGGCTCGCGCGCGGCCAAACCGCGTCGTCCCAGCTCTCGTCCGTGAGCACCTACAAGTTCACGTACAAGGACTTTGTGAAGGAGGACGACATCAAGGCCTACCTCGAAATGATCGGCGTCGACACGGACGACAGCGAGGAGAAGCTCTTGGACTACGTGCCCCGCGAGGTCACGATCGAATACGACTCCAAAAAGGTCGAGGGCTCCCTGGGGAGCGACGCCGCGGGGGGCTACCTCCTCACGGGCCTCACGTTCACGGCGTCGAGCGGCTTCACGTCGAGCTACGTGCTCGTGTTCACGTTGGAGGGAAAAATAGAGCGGATCACGTCGCTCTACGGGAAGCAGCTCGAGAACAAGGGCGCGACGTCCCTGGACAAGCACACGATCTACCAGGCTTTGGGCCTCAAGCTCTACAACACGACGCACGCCCTCGTGGCCTTCGGCGACTCGACGGGCAAGCTCGAGGGGCCCAGGATGCTGTGGGCGTGGCGGTCCGACGAGTGGCTCACGCTCTGCGACGGCAAGACGAACGACGCCCACGACATCCAGTGGGCGTTCGACGACGCCGCCGTCTGGCAGGCCGACGGGACGACGCTGGTCGGCGAGTACGACGTCGTCTCGGGGAAGAAGCTGGCGAAGTTCGACGAGAAGCGCGTCTCGGACCCGAACCACGTCCAGGCCGTCGCCGAGGACAAGGTCTTCTACATCTCGAGCCGCCAGACCGACGCCATCGTCAAGATGGACGTCGAGGGCAAGGTCGAGTGGACGCTCGGCGGCGAGTACGGCGACTACGAGATTGAGGACTCCGACGGCACGGTCTACAAGGCGGGCAAGACGGTCTGGAGCGGCCAGCACAACGCCGAGTTCTTCGGGGAGGACGAGTTCTGCATGTTCGACAACCAGGAGAAGCCCGACAACCACTACAGCCACTCGCGGCTCCTCTGCGTGAAGTTGGAGAAGGACGGGTCGACGCGGCGCGGCGTCGTGACCTTCTCCTACTCCATGGGCGCCTACACGCCCCACTTCGGCGACGCGGACCGGCTGCCCACGGGCAACATGCTCGGCGTCCACTGGCCCGACGAGCTCACGGACGCGACGGACTACGACGTAAGGGCGGTCGAGGTCGTCCGCGACGACGGCGACCTCGCCTGGGAGATGAAGGTCAAGGGCGCCAAGTGCGAGGCGAAGAAGTGTTCGCGGGACAACAAGGGCTGGACGTCCTACTCCATCGAGCGCTTCTACGCGAACCCCATCCTCTCGAACGTCGCGTGCGCAGACGCCGTCGTCACGTTCGACGTCGTCAACAACTTCAAGCAGATGAACGTCTACGACGGCACCTACATGATCAAGACCATCTCGAAGGACGACACGGTGGACAAGACCGACGGGACGCTGTCCTTCCTGGCCCACTGGCGGACGACGCCGGTTTCCGTGGACGTGCCCTCGGCCGCCGCGAAGGCGACGGTCATCGTCACGAACCAGTGGGGCGACGACGTCTCCACGGAGGTCGACTGTACGAAGTAGCCCTAACTCGCGTTCGCCCGACTGTGTGACCTCGCGGGCGCGGACGCCGCGATCGACGGCCGCCGGTCGTGTCCGACTCACACGTCGAAGCCGAAGTGGTCCGCGCACGTCGTGCCCGACTCGGGCGGGGAGCCCGACACCCACGCGCACTCGTCGGACTCGAGGACGCCGTTGGCCGCGCGGACCTCGTAGAGCTTGTCGAGCCACGCCGTGCGGTTCGGGAGCTTGTACTCGCGGTAGAAGGACGCGTAGTCCGGCTGCTCCGCGCCGAAGCTGAAGCCCTGGGCCGTGCGCACGCGGACGCCGTTGCCCGGGAGCGTCGTGAGCTGGTTCTGGTTGAAGCCGCCGCCGTAGGCCGCCGGGAGCCTGACGCTGTAGACGACCGTGTCGTCGCCGAGGATCTTCGTCGACGTGTCCAGCGTCATGTAGGGGCTCACGTACGGGCCGGCTAGATTCCCGTCGCAGTCGGACGCGTTCTGGTCCGCGGAGAAGATGCGCTCGTTGCCGTTCTCGCCGCACGCGCCCGCGCCCGCGACGGACGGGTCCTCGTCGCACTTGACGCTCGGGGGATAGACGAAGACGTTGCGCTGCCGGAGCGCGTTGCCCGCGATCTCGAGGTGGATGAATCCAAAGTAGTGGTCGCTACGGTTGCGGGGAGGTTCGAACACGAGCGAAGCATCGGACGCGGCGCCGCGCTAGCCGTAGTTCCAACTCGCGGACGCGTAGGGATCGCCCTCGGCGCCGTAGAAGCTGTACTCGCCCCACCAGTAGCCCTCTTCGCGCCGCCAGACCTCGAAGTCCGCCAGGTCGACCTTGGAGATGTCGCACTCGCACGCGTCGCAGGCGGCGGCGCAGGCGGCGCTCGCGAGCACCTTGCCCTCGCCCTTGACGGCGCAACGCGTGGGCGCGAAGCGCGACACCCACGCGCAGTCCGTCCTTGGCCGTATTGCCCTTCTTATGCCACGACGCGGAATCCTCGCATTGCGCAGCGACGGCGGGCAGCAGCGCGAGTGCAAGCCAATGCGTTCCGACCATCGTCGATCTTAATAAGGCCTTCTGCCCAGCATTATTCAATGAGACAACATTGATGGTTAGTTGACGCCAATGACCGCCCGGCAGAGATCTCCGGCAGAGATCGATGCGATGACCGCCGCGGGCAGCTCCATTTGAGTTTCTCGATGATTGAGGATGATGAGGCATCGACGGGCCGGACGCTCACGGGCCGTTTGAAGCTCGGCGATTGGCCGGAGCAGCTCGCGCCGATAATCATCTGCAGTTTGTGTGGGACGTGGATTGATTACTACAACCTCGGCCAAGCGGCCGGGTCGTTGCCGCACGCGGCGGGCGACGTCGTCGACGCGCAAATAGCGACGACGCGACTCGAGCGGACGCTCATGCGCTGCGACGTCTGCCTGCAGCTCGCCGGCGGCGAGCCGTCGGAGGTCAAGCTCTGGCTGCCGCGCGATTGCGACGACAGCCGCGCCGACCGGTCGCGGTGGCTCGCCGCCGTCGAGCGCCTCCGGGCTCCCGAGGCGCCGCCGTCGCCGCCGGCCGACGACGCCGCGGCCTCGGCGCCGCCACCGCCGCCGGTCGACGACGCCGCGGCCGCTGGCGAGGCGACGGAGGACCGGCGGCGGTCCATTGCGACCACGGTCGCCTACGCCCGGGAAATTTACCTCGCGTTGCGCCTCAAGGGCTCGATCGAGGTCGACCGCGCCGTCTCCGCGCACACCTACGGCGTCTCCTGCGAGGTCGACGTCGACGACGGCGCCGACGACGGCGACCCGGTCCTCGAGTTTCCGTCGGCGGCGCGGGTCGACGCGCCGACGCGGCGGATGGTGCGGACCCTCGTCGACAAGCTGCTGGCCGAGGGCGCGGACGCGCCGGCATGGGCGACGATCAGCCGCGGCTACGAGTTCGAGTTCGCGCCGCTCTGGGGGTCGCTGGTCCGCACGGGCCACTCCATACGCCTCTCGGCGTCCTGCGCGTCCCTCCGAGCCGCGCGCGCGCGCGGCATCACGGCACTCCCGAGTTAGCCTCGCGCTAGACCTTGGCCTTCTTCTTGCCGAGGAGCATCTTCTTGCCGAGGAGCGCGATCTGGGCCGTCCAGACGGCGTTGAGCACGGACGGCAGGCCGAGGGTCGCCGTCCCCAGGAGGCGGATCCAGGCGGGCACGGCGCCGTGGAGCGCCCCGTCGAAGGGCCGCGCGCGGGCGAAGCAATGCGCCACGACGTGGACGTTCGACGTCCGCACGGCGACGAACGCGGCCGCGAAGGCCGCCGACGCCGCCGCGTCGGCGGGCGAGCCGCGCCCGCGGAAGGCCTGGGCGTACCAGCGGCCCTGGAGGAGCGGCGAGGACAGCTCCGTCGCGAGGAAGTGGAGGAGGAACGGGCCCGCGACGCCCGTCAGCGCCGCGACGGGCCAGACGGCGACGGAGACGACGTGGTGCACGACCATGAGCCGCCGCTCGCCCGGCGACGACTTGGCCCAGGCGTCGAGGCGGTACAAATCCCAGGCGAAGAAGCCCACGGTGATCGACGTGAGCGACCTCGCGGCGTCGGCGCCTAAACCGCCGGAGAAGAGCGCGGGCGCCGCGGCGCCGTCGAGGTTCACGGCCGCCGCCACGGCCGCGGCGAGGGCCGCGTCGCCGTCCCAGCCGAAGAGGTAGCGGCCGACGAGCGCGCGCGCGGCCAGCGGGCCGACGAGCGCCGCGTGGAGGATGTTGACGACCTTGAGCGCGAAGGTCCGGCGGTCGCCGGCGGCGAACGACTTCGGCGCGACGGCCAAGGCGACGTGGTAGACGAGCTCGCAGACGACGAAGCAGGCCGCCGCGCGCGCCGCGTAGGGCGGCGCGTGGGCTTGCCAACCGCTGTCCATCGTGCAGGGGTTGCCTGTGGCAAACGGCGATCGTGATGTTGACGGTGAAGAGTGCGACGATGTGTGCGGTGCTGCCACTACCGCCATGAAGCTCGAGACGCGGCACGCCGTGCTCGCGTCGACGCTCGCCATCAGCGGCTGCCTCAGCGGCGTCGCCTTTGGCTGGGCCGCGTTGGTCGTCATGCTCAAACGCGAGGGCGCCTTCGAGGAGCTCTGCGACCGCAGCGCCGACGACGACGACGGCGCCTGCGCGGCGCAGGAGGTGGCGCTGTCGCGCGTCTTCTCCATCGGCATCCTGTGCCTCTTCGCGTCGCGGCTGCCGATCGGCGTCGCCGTCGACCGGCTCGGCAGCCGCGCGACGACCGCGGGCACGTGCGCCGTCGCCGCCGCGGGGAGCCTCTGCCTCGCGGAGCGGTTCTACGGGCTCGGCTTCGGGCTCCTCGCCGGCGCGGGGCCGGGCGTGCACCTCGGAGCCATGCACGTGTCGAACCTCTTCCCCGAGGCGAAGCGGACGGCGCTCGGGGCCTACTCCACGGCGCACCAGTGCTCGACGTTCGTATTCTCCCTGTGGCTGCCGCTCTTCAACGCCGGCGCGTCGCTGCGCCAGCTCTTCCGCGGCTACGCGGCCCTCTTGCTACTTTTTGCCGCCGGCTGCCGCGCCGCGCAGCCGCGGTCGCGCTACGAGCTCGGCGACGCGGTGGCGCGCGGTGGCTGCGCCGCGGCGCTCGTCGGCGCGCCGCGCAAGGCGTCGGCGGCGCCGTCGCTGCGGGACCAGGTCGCGGCCGTGTGGCGGACGGAGGGGTTCCGGCCGCTGTTGGTTTACAAGTCGGTCTCCCTGCTGTCGATGCAGTTCTTCGTCGCCGTGCTGCAGTACCGCCTCGCGGGCCGCGGCGCGGCGGCGTCGGCGATGAACCTGGCCTTCAACGTCTTCGCGTCGTTCCTCGGGCTCCTGATCGCCGCGCCGCTCGTCGGGCCGATCCTCGACCGGCGCGACGACGGCGTCGCCCTCATCCGCCGCGCGGCGACGGCCCAGGCCGTGGGCTTCAACGCGCTCCTGGCCCTGTCCGCGCGGTCGGCCTGGCCCCTCGCGGCGGAGCTGCCGTCGTACCTGCTGTGGGCGTCGTCGCGGATCTGCTTCTTCGCGTACTTTTTCGCGCACTGCGTGAAGCTCTTCGGCTTCGGGAGCTTCGGCACGGCCGTCGGCCTGCTGTCGCTCGTCGGCGCGGCCGTCTGCTTCGCGGCGGTGCAGCCGCTCTGCGCGCTGGCCTTCCAGTCGTCGACGGGCATCGCGGCGGTCTCCGCGGGCTTCGTGCCCCTCCTGATCGCGGCCCACGCGTACGCCGAGCGCGCGCTGCTCCGCGCGGGCGCGGACGCCGCGACGCGCGTCGTCGACGCCGGCGGCGCGGAGCTCGACGGCGCGGAGCTGGCGCTCCGCGACGCCGAACCGGGCCGGGGCGAGGCGCGCGTCTAGTAAACCTGCTTCAAGTTGAAGGCACTCGTTCTGCAACATGAAAAAATGTTCAAGTTGTTTTCTCTGCGCACGGGCGCTGGCAGCCCTTCGATGACTGTTCGGCGCCGCCGGTGACCGCTGGGTGCGGACCATGGCCGCCGGGCGGACCGCCGCGGCGGTGCTCGCGGCCGCGCGCCTCGCGTCGGGCGACGACGGCACGGCCGCGCCGTCGGTCCTGCCGACGCCCGCGCCGAGCCCGCTGCGGGCGCTGGGCGGCGACGACGACGACGGCTCCGGCGGCGGCATCAAGATGTCGAGCACGGAGCTGCTGTTCATCCCCGTCGCCGTCGTCGTCGTGGGGCTCCTGCTCATGATGTGCTACCTGTTTTTCCAGAGCAAGCCGCCGGACGGCCCTCCGGAATTCGCGAAGCCCGCGGACGGGCCCGAGGAGGCCAAGGAGCCCGACGCGGCGCCGCCCGAGGCCGAGAACTGGAGCGCCAAGGCCGAGGTCCAGGAGGGCCGGGAGGGCGACGTCGAGGCCGCGCCGGAGCCGCCGCGGCCGAACGTCGTCGCCGTCGACGACCTGCTCTCGGGCGGCGGCGCGCGGGACCTCGGCGTCCTCGGCGTCTTCTGCTGCACCCAGGGCCGCGACCTCCTCGGCGGGGCGTCGCCGAGCGGCGGCGCGCCGGGCGAGCCGCCCGCGGACGAGGACCCGGACGCGATCCCCCTGACGATCAACTAGTGTGCCTGTATTTAACGTTTTACTACTCCCAGGTGGACCCGAAGTCCTTGGACACGTAGTCGAGGACGCCCTTCTTGATCTTGCCGAGGCTCCCGGGCCCGCCGTGGGCCTCGAGCACGCGGAGCGTCGCGAGCGCGCGGTCGCCGAGGCCCGGGTGGTTCCGCCGGCTCGCGTTGACGGCGGCGCTCAGCGCCGTCAGGTCCCAGGCGCGGCCGCAGACGCCGAGGCCGCCGCGGTCCTTCGCGTCGCACGTCGCGTACGCGTGGACCGCGAGGAGCGCGCGGGACGCGGCCGCCGCGTCCGGCGACCGGAGCATCTCCTTGAGCGCCGGCGCGATGATGGGCGCGAGGGTCACGGCGCGGTGCGCGGGCCCCGCGGCGTAGAGGAGCTCGACGAGCGCCTCGGAGGCGAGGAAGCCGTAGGGCTCGCCGGGCTCGTCGAGCGCCTGGGCAGCAAAAGGGTGCGAAATTCCCAACTTCAAAGGCTCCTCTCTCGGCCGATTTCCGCTCGTTTCGGCTGATTTTTGGACGAGCGATCATCTCTCGGAGCGCTCTCGAAGCGTGGGTGCTGTTTCCGAAACGCGCGCGCGCGGAACACTCACGTTGAAGCGACGTTGAATCGCCCTTTTGCTGCCCCGTCGAGCGCCTCGACGCAGAGCTTCGCGTAGTAGTGCAGGTCCAGCGCCAGCACGTCGGCGACGCTCCAGCCGACGCGCCGCTCGCTCGAGTTCGCGTAGACGACGCGCACGGGGAGCAGGCCCTCCTGGTAGCGCTTGCGGAACTCCGAGGGCGGCCGCGCCTTCGGCGCGAGCTGGTGGTTTCGCCGCGCGACGAGGCGCCGCGCCGTCGCCGGGTCGGCGTTCGGCTTGATCGAGGCCGTGGCTTGTTTTCGCGCGGCGAGGGGCTCCGGCGCCCAGTCGCCGCCGCGGGCGAACGGGGCCGTGTCCTCGACGACGAGGGCTGCCATCAGCAAACTGTGCGAACTGCAACAAAAGATAGTCGCGAACGATGCGGCCGCATCGACTCCGAGCCTCGCAGCCGACGTCCATACCGCGCGCGCAATGGCCGAGGAGCTGAAAGAGGAGTTGAAAGAAGAGGGCGACGCCCCTCTCTTTGCGGCGCCCCGGGCCTGTCCGGTGTGCCCGGAGAGCGACGACGACGAGCCGCTCGAGTGCCGCATCTGCCGCGGGGAGGCCGAGCCCGGCCGGGAGCTCTTCGTCCCGTGCAAATGCCGCGGGTCCATCATGTACTGCCACGAGGAGTGCCTCGTCCAGTGGCTCGCGCGTTCCGCCGCGCCCGCGTTCGAACAAACCGCCGAACACCGAGAAACCCCCCGCCCCCCGCAGGACCACAGCGGCAAGGACACGTGCGAGCTCTGCGGCGTCGAGTTCGAGTTCGCGCCCGTCTACGAGGCCGACGCGCCGGAGACGCTGCCCTGGCACGCGCTCGCCGCCGCGGGCGCCCGGTTCGCGGCGTCGACGGCGGCGCCCTTCGCGGCGCGCGTCGGCGCGTCGGCGGCGCTCTGGCTCGGCGTGACGCCGTTGGCGACGTGCATGCTCTACCGGAGTTGGATCCACCGGCCGTCGGAGCTGCCCTTCGCCTGGACGTCCGCGCGGCTCGGCGAGGAGCTGTCGTCGGGCCTCGCCATCGTCGTTGCGATCGTGGTGAGCTTTTTGAGTTTGCTGTCTTTTACGGACTACATGCGCGTCCGCTGGGAGATCCTCGAGATGGAGCGCGGCGACGACGCGCCGGGGCCCGTGGAGGACGACGCGGCGCCGGCGGACGACTCGGACGACGGCGGCGACGACGACGGCGACGGCTCGCTCCCCGGCGACTCCGACGGCGAGTCCGACGGCGACGACGACGACGACGGAGCGTCCGACGGCGGCGACGACGCCGAGCCCCGCGACGACGACGACGACGAGATCGAGCTCCACATCGCCATGGACGAGCTCCTGGGCCTGCGGGGTCCGCTGGTCAACGTCACGCGCAACGTGTCGTGGCTCATCGTCTTCAACGCGGCGTACCTCGGCATC